TGGCCCACACACCACACTCACATGCAGCCACTTTTAATTAAATCAAGATGATTAAGAAGATTATATTCAAGGATGGAACCGTTTCTGCACCTCAAAAAGATAATCAGGGTGAGGCTTTTTTTCATGCTGACAATCTAAATTTCTTGAAAATATAATTTAATGTTCTGTAACGCAAGAAATTTCCAAAGGAAAGTATGCATAATTTACAACTCAGAGAGCACTAACAAGGTTAAAAACTATACCTAACATTTTCTACAGTAAAAAAGAGAAAAACAAAAATTTGTAAAACACAGAACAAGAGGTGATTTTCAATTTTGTCCTAATAAATAATTTAGTGTTCCATTAATAGTATTAGTATTTTATTAAACAAAATTTGATTCAAATTTTCAGGAGAAATACCATAACCTCAAAAACTAAGTAATCAAAAGTGGAAGAAAGTACAGATTATATTGCGAACATTTAGAGTCACAGTTAGATGATCGAAATCAAAGAGCTTGGTGATGTAAAGAGGAGGCATTAGGATTTATCCGCAAATCAGACGCCTCAATTGGTTTCTTCTTTTCTATAAGATTTTAGAACTTTTAAAGCATATCTCTCACCAAACACTTGTATATTTATCGTAATTTGCCGTTAGAAATGCATAACTTTAATATCTTTGTGGTAGAACTTTATCTTAAAACAGATTGCAACATTGGGTTTACAGTTTTTTGGCCCCTACAAACCAAGGTTTTTGGCCCCTTCACACCAAGGTTTTTGGCCCCTTCAAACCAAGGTTTTTGGCCCCTTCAAATCCCCCCACGAAAAAAAAATATCGTAAGCCGGCTTTGTATTTAAGAAAAAAGAAGAAAGAAAGAGCAAAGAAGGAAGAAAGAGTAAAGTAGGAAGAAAGAGAAAAGAAGGAAAAAAGAGTAAGAGGAAGGAAGAAAGAGTAAAGAAGGAAGGAAAAGTAAGGAAGAAAGAAAGAGTAAAGAAGGAAGAAAAAGTAAAGAAGGAAGAAAGAGAAAATAATGGAAGAAAGAGTAAAGAAGGAAAAAAGAGTAAGGAAGGAAGAAAGAGTAAAGAAGGAATTAAAAGTAAAGAAATAAGAAAGAGTAAAGAATAAAGAATGAATAAAGAATGAGTAAGAAGGAATAAAGAGGAGAAATGAGGAAAAAAGAGGAAAGGAGAAATAAAGAGAAAAGTAAGGAGAAAGAATGGAAGATTAAAGAAGGAAGAAAAAGGAAAGGAGGAAGAAAGGGGAAAGAAGGAAGTAAGAGTAAAGAAGGAAGCAAGAAAGAGAAAAGAAGGAAGATTGGATAAGGAAAGAAGAAAGAACGAGGAAAGAAGGAAGGATTAGAAAGAAAAAAAGGGAGAATGGAAGAGGGAAAAGGAAGGAAGAAAGAGGAGTGAAAAAGGAAAAAGGGGAAAAAAGAAGAAGAAACGTGAAAAAATAAAAAAATAAATAAAGAAAGATTAATAAGGAAGAAAGAAGGAACAATGAAAAAGGATAAAAATTAAGAAGGAAGGAGAAAGAATGAAAAAAAGAGGATGAAAGAAAAAAGAATAGAAAAGGAAAAAGAAGGAGGAAATAAGGATGAATAAAAGAGGAAAGGACAAAAAGATAAAGAGGAAAGAAGAGAAAATTAAAGAGGTAAAACGGAAGAATGGGTAAGAAAGGAAGGAAGAAAAAGGAAGAATGAAAGAAAGATGAAAAACCTATGTTCGGGAGAAGAAAATATGTGGAAAAAAGTTTTAATTTGTTTGAAAAAGCTTTAGTGTTTAGCGTACACTTTTTTGAGGTTTTCCTAAAATTTGAATATTTGGGTTTTGAGGTTGTGGTATTCTTGCAAAGGATTTGAGTCTTTGCTACAAACACAAATTTTCTAATCCCTATATCTTTGCAGCCCAATGCCGTAGACCTTAGATATTTCAAATTATGAATTCTGGTAGATCAAATAATCTAAGTTTGAAATATCAAAGGTTTGCACCAACAAGCTGCTAAGATATAAGGATTAGAAAATTTGAGTTTGTGACAAAGACTCAAGTCCTTTTTACATTTTTAAAGTTCCCTCCAGAAACACTTTTGAATATAAAAGGGCACATGTTCCATATTGACAGTGGGAATCCAGTGAAAGTTTTTTTTTAATTCTGACAAAAAAATTTTATTTTATTTTTAAAATTGTTAAAAAAAAAATAAAACTCATAATCCTCAGGAAAAAAGGGTTTAAGGAAAAAGTTCAATAAAATCTGAGACATTTATTCTGTGCAAAATTAAAATTGATATCCCGTATACAAGTTATATAATGTTTGTTTCCTTCTCCAATATAGCATAATATTTCATTTTATCAAAGAAGCTTTAGAAATTCCAAAATTGAAATATTTGAGATAAAAAATGCAAAGAATAATTTATGGCTTGTTTCCTCTACAAAGAAAATTTTTTATTTTTTACAAATGAAATAGATAAAATATGCGACATTTTTTTTAGGGTTACCGGGCTCGAATTTGAAACTTAAAAATGCATAAATTGCTTCAAAATTCCTAATCTTTCTCTTTGAATGTATAAAAAGTAATTAATTTTCAGACTTATAAACTTTAATTAATCTTATTTCCTATATAGAAGAATAATCACTATTTTTATTTCCCACTAAATTACTCAAGACTGTGTCACGAGGGGAAAGCTAGGTAGGAGTATAGTTTGATTTTGTAGGAGAATGTGGATTTTAGGAATAGACCATGTAAAAGATCGTTTATTGTTCCAGTTGAGTAAAGGATCAAACGTATGAAAGGACATGGATTGATCTGGTTGGATACAATTAAATTGTACCACTTCGAAAATATACATTACACATTATACAGTGCCTAATTGTATACTTCATATCTAACATGAAATTCAAAGCCTCGCAAATGTTTCATGTCTAAACTTGAAAACTTTTCTATGCTGGTGATTGTATTTAAAACTTTTGAAGTTTAAACTGTGGCCTGGCCGCCCATGGGTGGGGTTTGGTTAGAAGGGGGCAGAATCGCCATTTTAGGGAAGAAGCCTTTTTTTAATCCGAAACGTTGTTCTGGTTCTAAAAAAACCTAAAAATTTATCCAGGATCTATGACATTGTTAAAATTTTACAAATCCCGCAACTTTAAATATGTAAAAGACAAGATGTTATAAACAAATGCAATAATGATAGATAGAAAATCTTGAAGTAAAAAAAGTATTGTTTATTGACAAAAAATGTGTTCAATTTTGTTTTAAGTCATGGATAAAAGGTATAGAAAAAGTAGTAATATTGTGTTTTTTAAAGCTTTTTTTGTGTGTGAGTACTTCATTGTTTAAATGCTTAAGTTGATTGAAATCCCCCCTTGATATTTTCACATAATTTCCCCAGGGTCCTTATTCACTACACTGCAACTCCTCAGTTCTTCTATGCAGTACCTACCTCAAACACAAACCAACAATATAAAATTCAGACTCTTTATAAATGAGAAGAAAAAATACCTTAAACTTAAACTAATTATAAAGGATGTTTCTATAAAACACACAAAATGGAAATTTTTATTTATTGGGGTTAAAAACTTCAAATTCAAAGATTAAAAAAGGTACCAATCTAAAGGTTTGCATATTTGATCTTTATGTTTTTGAATCTTTTATCGATCTGACTCCCATTTTTATCCAAAACAATTTGTAGTTGACATACAATGAAAGCCAGTAAACGCCTTCAATATCAAATTCTCTTTGAAACTTTATTCAGGGTTAACCCCCTATCAGAACCAGTGCATCTTGAGCATCCTGCTTTCCATCCCTTTTTTCAGGCTCCCCCTCCCCCCCTGCGTCTTAAGAGGTCTTGAGTCAAGACCTAGTTGAGACTCCTTCACTCCAACCCCAGTTTAGCCTGCTTCTCTCTGTGTCTTGAGGAGGTTTCAACTTAAGTCGAGACTCAGTTTTATGAGGATATCATATTTCATCAACGTGTGTTATGTCCCACCCCCAGGTTAGCCTGTTTCTCCCTGCGTCTTGAGGACGTCTCAATACAAGACTCCTAAAAACGGGACTCAGTTTCATCAACATGTGTTGGTCCCTTTCCCAGGCTTCCCCTTCTGAAGTCAAAAATCTTCCCCCCCCCCCCCTCAATATGCTGTCACTATCAACATCTGTTAGAGGTATTGGTCAATAAATTTTCAAGACCATCTCCAGTTTTACAACTTTCCCAAGCTTTCCCTTTCTAGAGACAAAAATCTTATCCCCCCCCCCCCCTCAATATGCTGTCACATGGACATGATTTTTCAAGCTGTGAAATACTGTCTCAAGGCAATATACATCAAGTTATGATTAGGTGGTTTGAGGCTGAATTTAAAGAATTTGAGCTGCGCCTAGACGTGGCTCAAACATGAATAGTTCCACTTGAAATTGTAGTTAGCCTTTAGGTATTTGAAATGGCGCTCAATTGAAACCGGTTTTTGGTGGTTCAGCGATGTGGTTTAAATTCTTTGAATTCGGCAGTGAATGACCTTTTCATTCAGCCTCTGACAGTGGCGCCTACCCATATTTATGTTTGCAACTACCAGCTGTCCTAATCGAAGTGGTCGCCATCCCACCTCCTCTCTATCCAAACCAAAACACTCGGTCCCCTAGGCCTAGCCTGCCCTATAACACTTTTAAAGCTAATTATTTGTAAGACCTTAGACATTTCATTGTATTTAAAAAAAAAAGAGCTTTTATGCTTGAAATTTGCTTAACTACTATTGTTTTTTGAGCGGACGTATTTATATGTCTATTTCTTTCTCTCCCATCTAAATGACTTTCGGAACAAGCCCATCGAATTGTGTCTTCATCCGAAAACCAATAACTAAATTATAAAAAAAATATATTTAGTTGTAACAAAGTAAAACAAAAAAACATGTCCTGTCTGTATTTTGGCAGTATGAGATGTAGTTTTTTAATAGAACATACTAATGCATTTTAGATAAGAAATAAAATCAAATTAATTAAATTAACTAAAAATAAACTTTGTCTTGACTAGAACTAAAATGCTAGGAGCTCAGCAAGTTCAGCAGCAATTAGATCGTATGCAAGAACTTAGAGATAGGGCTAAATTCTTTATTAACAGGTTAAATGAATAGTTAAACAATAAAAATATGCACACAGTGCTTTTATATTTCAAAGAGCTTAAAAGATCTTTGATTTTTCAAACTATGAATTCTGTCATATGAAATAAGTTTGAAATGTCAAAGAAGCAAAGATACATAAAAATTCTGGAATGAATTTATAGTTTTTTACAATTAAAAAAAATCTCTTTTAAATTATATCTACCTTAGCATACAAAGATTAAATATTAAGCTATTTAATTTACTTTTTAAAACTATTCAATATTATTTATTAAGTTCTTTAAATTAGACAATTTTAATAAAGTCTAGAATTCTTACTCTTTCAGTCTCCAAAGCTTTCTTTTATCAAAAGAGGAAGGTTTCAAGAAAACTTTAATAAATTATCTTCATCAAATTTATTTTTTTGTCCAGAAAAATTTAATCTTTTTTTTAAAACAAAATATTTATTTTACTATATTTCCTTGTACATGGTTCACAATCGTTATAACATTCTGGTTTTCATTATATATCATTACACATTACAGTTTAAATTGTATTATGTCATTACAACGTTGTTACATATGGTTAATTTTAGAAATATTTCATTTTAAATTTCAGATACATGATTTTTTTCCCATGTATCTGAACGGTAATATTACCGTGTATTCCAACATAATTTACTGTTTAAAGTTTTCAAACTTGAGACGGATCTTTACTTCGTTTGCGGAGATCAATATGTGATCCAGCTTTTTTTAGAAGTATAAAATCATATATTATAATATGTTCAGGTTATGATACAGGGTATATATATATCAAGAGTTTAGGTTCCCAGTACATATTAAAAAACATTCTAAAGGTTTTAAGAATTTTTTTTAATCTAAGTTTAACGGCTAAAACCGGATTCAAATTGTGTTGAATACTGTTTAAAGTTTTCAGACTTTGAACGGATCTTTACTTCAATTGCATGTCAATATGTGATCCGACTTTTTTTAACCTTTTTAAACAAACCCCAACCCTACTCTCTAGCACTAGAATTATATCATTTTCTTCTCAATATGTTTCGCCAAAAACTTTGGCATCATCAGGAGTTCGTCCTATAATATAACAGATATAAGCAAAAAATGAAAATAAGTAATACAAACAAAGCAACTCAAATAAACAAAGAAGAGAACAAAAATAAAAAATCTTTTTATGTAACCTTTTCAATAAGGAATTTTTTAAAATGAATATCATTATATAATATAATATGACTTTTTTTGAAGTATATAATCATGCATTATAATATGGTATATATTAGGAGTTTTAAGTTCCCAGTACATATTAAAAACATTCTAAAGGTTTTAGAGTCTGAGTTTTTGAAACTCTCAGTTTAACAGTAAAAACCGGATTTAAGTTAATTCAGACCCGCAAGAATTGTTCTTTCGAGATGAATTTTTTCCACGTTACAAAATCTTTTTTTACGGTTCTATCGTACTTCGTAGACTGGATAAAAAAGTCCAAATTTTGAGGAAGATTCTGCAAGTTTTATCCAATTTTAATCTTTATTTTTTTTCTGTTAATTGAAGAAATTTCACTAGTAATCTACAGTAGAGTCAGTTTTCAGACATGCTGTAGAAGACCTACAAGAAAAGAAAAGAGGAGAGAAGAAAAATAGCTGATCATTATCTTTATTTCAGAAAAGAGTGGAATTTGGCTTCAAAGGTATGTTTAAATATACTCTAAAAAAAAGTATCCATCCAAAAAAAGGTCCGAATATTCACTTCTCCTTCAAAATAAACAAATTTTTAAAATAATGGATACAACTTTAGAATAAGGTACTTATCTTATCAAAATTCTTACATAAACTTTTGTAAGTACTTAGAAATAGTGTTATCTCGTCCACAAGATGCAGAAGATCAGTGGATGCCGGATCCTGGAGCGCTTCTTATACGGAGCCAGGTATCTGGTATATGTATTATTAGCTGAAGTGCCCTGCGATACCCGTGGAATTAAAAAAAATAGAAATTTTTTAAAGTGAATTGTTTAGCCTTTGTTACCTCCTGGATACCCCTTGGTTTCCTCTAAAAGTTTCAACCCTTTTGGTGAAGCCGTTTGCCCGGCTATAGGGAGGGAACATAAATACGAATGTCTTGTTTTATTATATAGATAATATACAATTTAATAAAGCTCTTCGCTTGTATAAATGTGTTTCTATAATTGTATATGTTAGCTGTACCCCAGGGGTAAGAGCTATGGCTAAAAAAATTGGGATTTTGCTTTAAAAAACTCGACTTATTTTCAAAATTCAAATTTTATTTTCAAAAATTTAATTTTTTTTTCAAGTGCTTGTTAAATTCCGCCGGCAACGCCAGACACTTCAGCTAATAAGTAAATAAACACAGCAGTTAATGCCATAGCTACCATTCTGAATGAATTTTTTTGATGTCAAAATAAAGAAATTGATTCAAAATGGAAGCTCTGGTACCTTTGCAGACAAATTGAAAATTAAAACAGAAAAAAATCTCAAATAAGTTTAATTTATATTCAGGTTCGCCTACATCTGGCAAACTACAAGAATGCCCTAGGTCAACTTTTCTAATTTAAAACAATCTATTTAAAAAAAATTAATCGTCACTACCAAAGCTACCGACTGTGTTTAAATTTTCTTTAGAATAGTTGTAACATGTAGAGGATGCTAGGCTGGCTAATCTCTGCCTTGATAGGTTGAAATTTTTCTTAATTACAAAATCTCGAATTTTAGTTCTTCATGCCGGAATTCATATTTTTGTTTGTTTAAGATTTATTTTGAGAATTTTTAAATTTCTTGAATTCAAATAGAAAACAAACAAGTGTAATAAACCCTATTTCATTTATATCTTTGTAACCCGTAAATATACGTTATTTAGTTCATTGACCCTAGTTGCGGTCAACTTATTTACCTTTACCTTTTGATATTTAAATATAGACAGTTCAACACAGACTCTTGTTATTTACGGATCATATATACCTGGATAGGTAGAGAGGATAGAGTTTGTGATAGATTCAAACAGCGCATTTAGGCTGAAAACGACTAAGGAGAAGTTTAGGCATTTTCTACACAAGAATAAGTAAAATCACTAACAATAACATTTTATCTCAATGAAAACACGAGTGTTACAGAGGTTTAACATATGAAGCTAAACGGTATCAGAAAATTAACACAAAATTTCACTTTTCATTGTTCTCGCAAAGATCATTAAAAAGTTAGTAAAAATGTAGGATATATTCTCTAAAAAAATAATTTAAAAAAATGGTTAGGCTGGATATTAGACAGAGTAGAGCTTTAAAGCTGATGGCTGAGGCACAATTCCATCTTGGAAATTATGAACACTCTCTCCTTTACTTCTACAGGTTTGTTTTTATAGAATAGATATATTTTTCACATTTTTTTCTAAATATTTAGAAAGAATTTATTATTAAACATTTTTATAAATAGATGATAGTAAAATATTTATCTCTTCGCCAGTAGCTCTCTACTTATTTCTATCCCTGGCCAACAGCTGGGCTTCACGTTCACCCCATACCATTCCAAAGGTCTTCCCCATACAGGGTGTCCCCATAATCAAGTGAATTAAGTCTAGCAGACTTTGTTATGATCATTTCAGGGGGCGGAAACGTCATGTGTGTGTTTATGTACCAAAAGAATGTGTGTAAAGTTTACCGAACCAAAGGCGTGTACTGTAGGTATATACAGTACATACGAATCTCGGTATTTGTACAGTCTAGGAGAGTACATTTGTTTATTGTTAATTGTTTACTTAAAAATAAGTTTAATATACATGTAGTATATTATTTATATATTTAAGTCATCACTATAAGCCAAATTTGCATGCTAAGATTAAAGCATGATTAAAGTTTACAATAAACTAGTCGTTAATAAAACTTAATTATAATTAACGACATTGTTCTGCAATTTCTTCACTGTAGTCATGTTGTGTGTCTGTACCAAAAGAGTGTGTGTAAGGTTTACCGAACTTGTCTGCAAAGCAGTGCGAATGGCTTTCTCATGCCAGACCAGCGCCATTTCCTTTCCCTTTATTCCTATTCCCTGGATCATTTAAATTAATAAATAAGTACATACTTAACAAAGATGATTTCGTATTAGGCAATTAATTCCCATGTTTATTGGGACACACAGTTTTACATGGTTGTTTCTCTTTGCACGCTATCCGATTTTCTTGGCAAGATTTTGAAACAAAATACATCTTCAGTAACTGCCAAGCTTTAACATTAAAGGACTTTTTTGACACCCCATATTGTAGGTTTTTTGACACCCCATATTGTAGGTTTTTTGACACCCCATATTGTAGGTTTTGTTTCTGCTAGATTTGTTTCATAATGTTTATTACTCAGGTTTCTGTGCTTCTATGAAGTTAAATTACATGTTATGTCATGGGGGGTTTTGTTCAGAGGCGTATTGGAGGTTAACCCTAGGCGGGTGAACTTTATTAATGAAAGAATTTTAACTGTCGCAATCTTTGCTCCATTTTTAAGACATTGTGATCCCCTTTTCATTGATACATGTCCCACTATTATTTTTTAGCTTTTTGTAATCATATTTTTTTATGAATAAATGTGGTATCTAATCAAAATATCTGAGTGTAGGGAGTAGGTAGGAAGGTGAACAACAGACATATGAACCCGGAACTCTGTCATTACCGTCTACATATTGTTCATTCGTATTTCAACAAGCCACATTGTTGTGTTGCTTTGGGTATCCATCTATGTATCTGTCTGTGTTTCTTTTTGCAAATCCACCCTGTATCCCCTGCAGTTATAAGAAATGCTTTATATTTTAATTGAAAATTGGGTGGAAAGGAATTTTTTTTAGAACCGTATCCAAAGAAAATATCTAATTGACTCCAAACAATGATATTTTCTTGTTGTTTCAGATAAAGATTTATCTCGTGAACTTCTTTTTTTGAATTTTGTAACCAGAGCACTTAAATTGGGCATTGTTATTCTCAATTTTTTAAATATTTTAAAATTGTATTCTATAAAAGCTTGGTATTTTGCAAAATCTTGACTTTGCCAGAAGATCGATTTTTCGAATTGTTTGGTAACGAACGATTGATTTTGCTTTGTGCAGGTTTATATCTTTTGTCAGAGTCAAAATTTGGATGATTTCATAAAAAAAACTATGTAAGACTTTGTAGATTTTTGAAGCCTCGTGGTTTCCTTAAATCTAAAAGTCCTAGAATAACTATAAGCGGATAATAACGATACCCAACTCTAGAGAGTACAAGGTGAAAATTAATTTTCTTTGCAGAAGCGAACGTGTTTTAAAAAAGGGAACTGAGGAAGGGAAAATTGGAATTCAGAGATGTTTAGAAGCAATAAATTCTCTTCTAGATGAAACATTCCAAAAAGATTTACAGGTATTCTCATCAATAACAGCTAATTAAAAAGTCTATCGTCAATGTCAACTGAGTGATTTGAGTAACATACATTTTTTAAATCAACCAATAAAATATAAATAGTTCTAAACTAGTATATACCTAAAACATAAGTGTTTATATTATTATATATATGCGTCATATGTGGCTATCAAAAATTTGAAAAATATAATGGTGTTTAGTTCCTTGCTCAAGAAACCACAAATGACCATAAATGCATGTCAGCATATAAATATTTCTCACAACTCAACAACAATGTTCAATTTCATATTTTCGATTGAAATTTTCATTTAAATTACCAAAACCAATATCATAGGGCGAGTTACCGAAGATTAGGGTTACTAATAGTGAGGAAACTTCTTCATTTTCTGATGGATCGGAAAAAAAATTCCTAGTTTCAAAATCTTATAGAAGAACAAATCGTTCAGTGGGTACAGGTCCCTGCTCGAAACTTTCGAACTCTTCGTTCTCTATAAGTCAGGCACAAAAAAATGATTAATTAAAATTAGAAAGTGTAGCAACAAAGTTTGGTTTGAACTTTGCTTGCTATTGTTGTATTGCTGCTGTATAGCTTTCCAGTATGAAACTCATATTGAAAATCTTCTGAAGTAAAAAAAAGTCAAAACTTTGCTGAATAATAAATAATCTAAAATTTTAAAACTAATTCTAATATTGAAACTACTTCCTGGAAAAGTTCAAAACTAAACTAGAGTTTACTTTTTTCACGACTTATTATTTTTGGAAAATGTTTTTTCCTTCGAAAGATCTCCTTTTTTTGTGCACAGAACCGTCCTATTCGTGTGTGTGGTAGGTTTTACTCACTTCTTCCGTCTCAACCTTTCACAACAGATATTCAGTGCTTTCAGGTAAAGAAAATAATAATTTTATTCTGACTGGACAAAATACCTTTTTCCCGTAGAATTTGTATTTACTTGATATTGATATAATCTTCCCCCATCCGTTGTCTTTTTGACTTAACACATAAAAAGGTGCACTGCGCTTGGTTTAAACTATGTGCAATGGCGGATATTTAAAAAAATTAACAAATGAAAAATTGACACTATAATATTTGGTAATTTATTGATCTTTCAAACCTCAAAAATACCTTAACCAAAGAATCTGAACTATTGTCTAACAGTTTAATTTTCTAATTCTTTTATCTGTACAGTATAACGTGTAGAAGCTTATCTCATAGAGCTTTGAATTCTTATCAATCAAAAGTTAAAGATTTACACCATCCGGTTGCAAAGATGTAGGGTTGGCAGAAATATTAAATGTATGTATTGAGAACGGTTTGGTACAACTTGTTGTTGTTGTAAAGTAAGTTTTTAGTTTTGAATCATATTAAAATATAATTGAAAATGTAAAACATTTTTTTATTGGAAAGTATAAAGTTAGACACAGGAAAAGTTTCCTTCTACCAGGAAAATATAAACTATAGAGAACCAATTTCCTAGACTCTAATGTTAACAGTGAAGAGAGTTGATAACTAAATCTCGCTTCATTTCAACTAAAACAAGCTTTACTCCACAAAACAATGATTGGAACCTTTTTTGTTTACTAAAAGGGGCGTTAGCAGATTTTTAACTCTATCTTTATTTATTTTGATTGAGAATAGAGAAAATAAACCATTTTACAGTTTTATACAGTTCACATAGTTGTATAATATATGACGATATTTTATCGTATTTTTGATTCAATTATTTCGCATATTTTATTACTCGTGTTTTCGTTTAATAAAGTTTATGAGAAGAAGAAGAAGTTTTAGGCAGTTCAAGGGAAAATAAAGCCAGATTTAATGATTTTTTTGACAGTTTTAATTTACTTTTAGAAATGGAACACGTGTTAGTTTTATAAAAACTTTTAAATAAAAAAATCATAAAAAACATTAATCTTTTTTGTGCGATCAATTTGATTTAATTATTTATGTTCTTCATTGGATATAAATATAATATTATGGTTGGATACATGTTTATTTTAATTAGAAGTTACTGAACACATTGGACAAGAATAAGGGAAGAAGAGGACAGGAAAGGAAACTGCGAAGATATACAGTTAATGCAATCCAATATATTCAAAATACATGTACAAAATAATCAAGAAAAGGATTTTTTTAAATCAAATAATAAATAAATAGAACTTCTGCTATGATGAATGTTGCATTTTCATCTATTGCATTTATTTAGTATATAGTCTATTTAGTGTTGCTAATCTTTTTGGTTTGTTTTTGCTTTCTTTCTTTGCATATATTTTCTCAAGGGTTAAAAATTTGGCATAGTTTAAAACAAGAATAACTTGCGTATTCTATTAATTTAGTTTGCTCTAGCTAAGCTATGTCAAAGGAACTGAGTCTTTGCCACAAAATCTGTTTTTCTAATTCCTATATCTTTGTATCCCAATGTCGTAAACCTTAGATATTTCAAGTTTGAATTCTGAGCTGAAAACTTTAGAATAAGGGATATCGAGATTAATGCGTGATCCTCTCTTTTTCATAATATCGAGACTAATCTAATTTTGTACTTGTATCCCGAAAAGTGTATGAAATTCAACCAATCAGAGTCGCGTTTACGAAGCCGATAAATTTGAAATTTTGCGCTCCATTTAAGAGTATATATAGAAATTGAAGGAACTCTCTAATTTAGAAAAACCGGTTTTTTTTATTTTTATCTACTAAATCCAGAAAGAACGGTTAAAGAAGAAAATCAAAAGTGTGTCCATTGGATACTCAGATTACGTAATTGGGATCAAGGATATTTCATTCTAAAGTTTTCAGCTCAGTTAGATCAAATAATCTAAGTTTGAAATATCAAAGGTTTATAGAATCAGTTTGCAAAGATAAAGGGATTAGAAATTTTAAAATTGTGAAAAAACTCAATTTCTTTGACTTTGACAGAAAATATTTGCCAAAAAAAACGAAAAACCCCGATCCAACAAAGATCTCAAAACAAACGTGTTAAAACGATCGTTTTAGATTCCTTTTCCCATTTTTTTAAGGATACAAATATCGCAGAAATGTTTGAAGTTTTATTAAAAGATTTAAAAAACACAAATTTACCTATTTACAAGTTCTTCATTAAGGACGCCAATACTTATCTAGAAAACTGGTTATTTCTTTACCTCACTTTTGTGTCTCTCTAACTTGTTTCCTTACCCCGATTTTGAGCACAGTTTGGCTAAGTAAATATGATATATGCTAGCACTTGAGAGCTAAAGAGGCACTCTGCAGGAGAAGAAATACAAGAAAGGAATGCAAAAAAGAAATTACTATTTATAGTGAGATACTGTAATATTAAATGATAATTTGAAGGTTAGAAATACACCCTTATCGATAAATAAAAAGTTCATAATTGTATTTTTTTTCAACAACTTTGCATTTATAATTAAAATATTTTTTTTAATCTTTATTCTTTTTTAAACATTTTATATTTTTTAGCTTAAAACGTAGATATCTTAAATTATTTTTATTTGAATTTTCACAGTATACAGTAAATATTTAGAATGTATAGAAATGTTGACAAGCTATTTAAAACAAATATTCGAACTTCCAGAAAAAATATCTATCTAGTGTGTATTAAATATCTGATTTCATGGATCTGCATTCTAATCTATATGAACCATTTGGAAGGTCAACTAAAATTTAGGTTTTGAGACTTATTATAGAAACTGAAACCTCACTCACAAACCATTATTTTCTAGCCATATATTATTGCAATCTGATAGTGATAGTGTACATCTGTATATTATTGCAATCTGATAGTGATAGTGTACTATATTATTGCAATCTGATAGTGATAGCGTACTATATTATTGCAATCTGATAGTGATAGTGTACATCTGTATATTATTGCAATCTGATAGTGATAGTGGACATCTGTCCAACTTGATATTTCAAAAGTTCATTACTTTCACTTGAAGAATTCATATTTTGAAATATCGAAGATAGCGAATCTAAAATCAAAGTTTTTTATGGAAATAACTTTGTTTGAATCTTTATAAACAAATAACGTAATGAATTTATATTTAATTGGTAAGTTATGATTCCTTTAAAAGAGTTTAAGGATCTGTATATACGCTCCTTGAGGATAAGAGAATACCATAAAAGTTACCTCTCATCAGACTGTAATCATTTTATGGAACTGATTTTACTCGCCGAAAACAAAATTTTCTAATAACTGTATGTTTCCAACCTAATGGTGCAATCCTCTGATATTTTAAGTTTTGAGTATTTTAACCCCCCTCACCCCCCTCCACGGTGGGGTATTTTAAGGGGTCAGGGGGGGTGATTGGTTTTTGTCACAATACTCCTATTAAATTGCATTTGTATTGTTGTGTTTCATGGTGAGAAGGGAAAAAATTAATATATTCTGATCATCTTTTCATTTACAAACATTGATTTATAGTGATTTCGATTTATAATTACTTTTCCCGTTCATATATTTTTCCTTAAATGGATCCTGTAAACCTACAATAAATTTGGATGTCGTCTTTGTTTCAGCGAGCTATTTCGGAAGAAAAACATACATTTTCTAGCAAAAGTACAAGAAAGCACAGTGGTTTCGGGATAATCTAAATATACAAAAAGATTCTAACAGCCATATAGAAAAGATTCAAAGGGGCATCGACAGGTCACCATAACCTTGTTTAGTCAGAGTAGCGTGTTGAAAAATCCTATTTTAATAATTTTTAATGAAAAAACGGGTTTTCTTAACTGAAACATAACAATTTAAACAACTTCGAGACTTTCTCAAAAGAGATTCTCAAGCGGCCAAGCCATATTTGACATTTTATAAATGTTAAAAATGTGAATTGCGAAAGAAAAAATATGATATTGCACAAGACGACACTAATCTTACTTTTTTGACTTACTCTAAATGTATTCTATAAAAGATACGCAAAATATGTTACACTTTACATGCATCTAAATAATGAGAAAAAACTGTATGGATCTAAATTTTCTGAATGCATGTTAAAAGAACACATTTTTTTAAATAATAAAGATTGCAAGAATTTTTGCCTGTATAAAGATAAGAAAGATTTGAATGTATTGTTGTTGAGCTCAAAGGGGGAGTGGGGGTCTCGAAATGTGGCGGTAAGAACTGGCAGAGAAGGCTTCCCGGAGAAAGGAGGGATATTTTTTTCCCAAGCAACGGTCCCCGGGCAACGAAAGTTCTCAAGTTGGCAATAGAAGGTTGGCAATAAGAACAAGGAAGAGAAGGCTTCCCGGAGAAAGGAGTGATATTTTTTTCCCAAGCAACGGTCCCCGGGCAACAAAAGTTCTCAGGTTGGCAATTGTTTCCAGAGGTTTTCTCATATTCGCCACAAATCCATAGAAGATAACATAAGGTATATTTCAATCCTGTAAATAAGTACGGTTAACAACAGTGCATTGAACTAAATTGATTGATTATTTAAATGTTAACAATGTTTTATATTATAAAATATCCTTATTATTTCAGGATAATGGGGTAAATTGAGGCGTCTGGTTATTAAGAATAAAACAACATTTAAACTTCTAAAATAAAATGACAGTTTTGTTGCAAAGATTTATAAGTCACGAATTTTAAAGCTTTTAACTATATATATTTGAAACGTGAGCGCTACACGAGAGGATGTTTACTGTTCTGCCGGAGGTAGAAAATGTTTGGTTTGGCCACAGGAGAAAATCTTGGTCAAAGTCGACCTTACAGCGAAGTTAATTGTTTTGGTTAACAATTGTGTACTCACTAAATAAAGGCTAGACAAATCTGAGAACATACTTTCTAATAAAAGATTTGTAGGATCCAAATTCCAAATTCCCTGAACAAATATTGAAAGGATCTGAATGTATTTCCCTAGATAAAGTTGAAATAATCTTAACGTATATTCCCTCCCTTATATAAAGAATTTGATTTTATTTTCTCATAATAAATAAAGGAGAATCAGATTTTTTCTCTAAATAAAGATATGAATTGTCCCTAAATAAAGAAGAGGACTTGAGTCTTTGCCACGAACTTTGATTTTTTAATCACTATATCTCTGTAATCCATTGCTTAGTTTAAAATATCGAAGGTTCACACCATCAGGCTGCAAAAAATGTTGGGATTATAAAATTTGAGTTTGTGGCAAAGACTCAATGCCTCTGTATTTTTTTTAAGTCCTCCCTGTTTGTAAATTAGCATGTACTGCACTGGTCAGTGATTCAGTAAATTGATAATAAATCCATAAATCATATCATATATACCTCGAGATGTTAACATTAATTATTATGCTGATATCAATAACAAAAGAATTTTTAAATCATATCATATATACCTGTTTATGGTTATGTTTTTTTATATGTTAATATCAATTAACATCAATTGAATTCATTAAATAATTAATGGTCTCATATTGAGCCTCTAATGATGGATTTGAAATGCATTTTAGAAATGGTCCGAGGAATTAACATCATCTAAAAAAAATCTTTTTAGATTATCAATAAACATAAACAAAAAAGATATATGTTTTGAAAAGATTTTAAAAATAAGAAAATAAATAAATTTTTATTGGTCCATAGAGAGCTCTCAAAACAAGTACATATTTTGTATAATTGTGAGTAAAAGTTCTCTATTTCATATATTTTTTAGATTAAATGTGTAGACCTGCATGGTTTATATTTTTCTAAATGCCATTTACAAATATCCTTAATAACAAACTTTCCTTTTAGTCAATAACTCCCAAAAAGTGTTTCAACACGCCGGACAACGACGGTTGCATGCATATTGCATGTACGTCACGATGGAAAGAATTATAAAAAGAAGGAAGTGTGTTTTGCTGACCCTGTGGGTTGAGTCATGAGTGTACACTATATAGGCAGAAAACATTCAACAGGTAGTTTCAGGCAGTCGAGTGCAGACAGGCAGTCAGCTGATCAGAACTGATCATTTAATATATCTTCTATAATCTTCAGTGAATTTACTCATTCAACAGTTATGTGAGATTTAATTCCATGTATTCTTGATACTGATCATTGAACTGATAATACAAATTTCAATGAGAATCTGAGCGTTTTCCCTGGACTTCAAGGAAAACATGAAAACATTAGAAAAACAATATAGAACTGATTTCATACCTATGAATTATGTATATAATGATACTTAGTTTTTACATAGGGTTATAGCTTTTAAATGCCACTTTATAATATAAAGTACTTATGATCTTCATATGAAACTTTCTAATTTTGAAATGTCTTGAGCACTGAACCAACAATTCAAGAAACAAAATTATGGTTTTAAAAGATTTTTCCCCAAGTATTTTGTGGCATTTTATGATGCAAAGAAGCATTAATCCCGACCTTCTAGTTGTTACAATTTTACCAACAATTTCATCTTCTTGAGAATATTTTTTTTACATAAACTTTTCCAACCCAACCCAGTTCGTGTACCCCCCCCCTTTAGCTGTAGTTAGATATTAAAATAGTTTATAGTCAAAATGAAATTCCTATTTAAATTGTTGTTTTCAGCTCAACAGTTTCTATGTTGAAGGTTCAGTAAATGGAGCCAAGACTAGAGGGTTCAAATCTCTTAAAACAGGAGGAGAAGCATTATCTCATTTCTCAAAATAGATTGAGTGAACAAAAAGATTTGGTTAGTGACTTAAAACTTCATTGCACCCTAACTATAGATAAAGAAGAAGATATCTTAAATGAAGTACCCAACCTTGAAAAACAAACCAACACTAGAGAGTCTAAGAAAGGAACAAATGATGATCCAAGGAAGCTATTATCAGGAATGCTGAAGGTAGATTACGGAACTGGTAGAGCCAAGTCTCCTGTGACCGTTCAGGAATGAAACACATTTGAATATTAATTTGATTTCACTTAACAGCACAGCAGAATTTATATGCTTATAGGAACAATTAAGTATTTTCAACAAACTCATTCAAACTCATTCCTATATCTTTGCAACCCGATTCCAGGGGATATTAGTTCCAAAACAACACTTGGCCCATTTCTGACACTGAGTGTTAGAAATGGGCTAAATCTGCAAAGTTATCTTTTTCAAGAGTATATATCTTAAAATCCAAGACGAGTATAACAAAATTACACCATATCTTTATCAAAAATGGCTAAAACTATTTATTGAAACAATAAATGTCAATTTTAAACTAATAATAAAATGTGAGAATTAGTTTTTGATGATTCTTGATTTCATTTTCGAACATATCCCTTTTATGAAACAATTATCGGATTTCAGCTCAAATCGCGTTTTAAGAACATATCCTGGTTTTGAGATAATTACCGGATTTCATCTCATGTCACGTTTTCGAAACATATCCTGGTTTTGAGACAATTACCGGAATTCATATCAATGTCAAGTATTTACGCTCTTGTGAAACAAAACAAGATTTTTTGTTAAGATAAAATATAAACAAAATAGACAATAAAAAAACTAACTGTTCTTTGATAATTCAAAAATCATTACAGCATTGAGAAATCAAAATATTAATATCATTTGTTCTTACAATATAGATTTAACTAGAAATGCGGAAAGTCATCGTTTAAAATGCTCGAAAATAAATCATCCATATTCTCTAATTTAACAGATAAAATGTGGAAACCTAGATTCTAGAAATAATTCAGAAGTCAATTTAGTCTTCATAAGATAAATTTTGTTTTTAGTGATTTATTTTGTAAGTTATGAAAGTGAGTTTTGTTTTGAATTGTGGATTATACTCAAAAACGGGAAAGTGGGTTTTGTCTCGAAAACGCGACAATGTTTCAAATTCAGGATATGAAAAGAACTCTTATTATAATTTTGATTTTAAAAAAAGTTTTAAATTGGGAATTGTTGTCCTCGTCATGTTTAATAAAATGTTGGTTATAGTTTTTATTATCGACTTTTACTCTGGATATGGGCTGGGATCTCAAAAACCCAATCTTTCAATTTGTGCCCATTTCTAACACTCAGTGTTAGAAATGGGCCAAGTGTTAGTTTTGGAACTAATGTCCCCTGGATTCCTTTGTCGACATATTTACAAAATTAAAGTTTATTTCTCCAAATATTTTCCTACTTTAATTTGAAGGGTATTCTTATTTAATTATGTTATAAAAACTCTAAACAAAATGTGTACAAGGAATGGGTTGCCGCTTTGCCTGATTTACCAATTGACATGGAAAACGGTATAATAGAGACTCAAAGCATTTTGGAAAATGACAATATGAGATTGGGGGCTGAAGGTGAGAAAAAGATACATAATTCAAGTATAATTTTACAAAAACTTGTGAAAGTTTGTACTTTTTACATAAAAACATATAAAAAATTAAAAGGTTAAATATCATTCTCTCATATAGATTTTTTTTTAACCAAAAGCAATGATATATGTTTTAATTTGGTTTTGAGTAAATAAAGTAGGGGTTAGTTCCACATTTGTTTGAAAACATATTTCGGTCTGGACCCTCTTCAATTCTAGAAAAACTACAAAAATAAATAATGAAAAATTAAAAATGTTTTACAAATCTTATGAGAAGAAACTTTAAAAAACTTACTAAAAAATAAGGTTGTCTTATGAACATTATAAGCGAGCTCAATTTGTATATGAAGTAAATTTTTGCTGAGAAAATGAAAGTAAATGCATGGTATATGAACCAAAGTTATACCAAAACTCATATATATGTGATACATGGTATATGGTATATTTAAACATATCATATTCAGCAAATACGGAACAAATCTGAAAATTAGGATAACCCAGAGGTGCCAAAAATTTTAGGTACGCTCCTATTATTACTTATTAATTTTTAGTAGATTTAATTGAAAAAATAATTCTTGTCTTTATCATGACCAGAATTTTCACCAATGGCCGTTCAGTATCTGGTCACGTGGCTCTGCCCATAATTCTCAAATATTAAAATTATAAACCACATAATACTTTCTCCTCGTGTGTGCAGCGTGCTCCCACCTTCCTTTGCATTGTTTAATTACGAGAATGACACTGGGTTTCGTAATTTCTGATGTATCTACCTGTTATCACAATTAGCAACAGTTATTCTGTATTTATAGAAAATAGTCAAGAAATACGACGCTAAAACGAAAACGTGTTTTTATGATAACAATTTGTCTTTCCAATTTTCTCAATTTCAATAGCTGTTTGTCTGTTATATAGTTCGACAATGGTTTAATGACGTATTTTTTTTATAAACTATTATAAACTTATTTTTCGTTTATGTATACATAGTACAAATTTTGATTAGGGAAATTTAGCTTTATATGAGTTTAGCGATTATTAGGGTAGCATTTTTTGAGATTGCGTTTGATCTAAATGACGTTTTTGAATTTAGCTTTTTTTAGGTACACCCAAAAACCCTGCTTCCCTTGTTAAAACCTTTATTCTGGGCGTATACCTAAATATATATAGATACGAATAGAATAAAAATATTATGAAATATAATGTGTAAACATCGCGGACTTCTGTGTTCAAAGTAATTTTTATTGTGTTGCAGTGCAGGGTACCGGAAGTTAACAATGTTTATCTTTTATACATATAATTCATCTTGCTTACTCAGTTTGTTATAAATCTTGGCAGTGGAAGTTGACATATGATAATTTAAGCCAAAGAATTAACACCAAACATGTCTACTACAGACTTTAAAGGAAGTAAAAAACTAAAATAATTTAATTAATTCATGCTTAAACTAATGTTCAATTCCCAACATAAATGCATAGTTTTCGTATTTTACTCGTATGAAGGATATGTAAGGTTAGATACATACTTGAGAACTTTCTTAGATCTATGTTTCGGGGTCTTTTATCATGAAACATTAACTTTTTACAGGGTTACCCACAATTCATGAAACATCAAAGTCGATTGTGCGAAATTTTTCTTACGTCAAAAGTTTTCAGCAACTGTAAACTTGTTATTTTCTTGACAAATCATTAAAAATAACATTATAACATTAGAACACAAATATAAACACATAAGAACAAAATCAACCTGTAGAACTTGGCGTAATTTGCACATTTATTCATTATTTAAAGGGAGTGACCGGCTATGTAAGGTAGTTGAACTGAGTATGCAGTTTTGTGGAAAACTTCTTTCGGATTCATTTGAGAAATATTAAGCTTTTTTAAGATCTGTAAATCCTGAGTTTGAGCGCAAATTCGACGTTCAAAACGCCTACTTTGGGGGTGGATACGTTTTCAGAATTAGTTTTTCTTCAATTATTAAATAACGACGACAAAAATTGTAAACAAAAATCTACAGTAAACTAATTAGTTGTTTCGGAACCGGTTGAAAAAACAAAATTAATCTTATCATCGAAAATAAGTAATCTTGTTCAATTATTAGTTTCTATTTTCTCATTATTCTAGTTCTTATTATTCACAAACATTTTCTGCCGATTTTCTTGAATTATTATTAAAAAGACGACATTTGGAGAATTTTAAGAAATCTGTTAATAAATTCAAAGAAAATAAGAAATTCAATATAATGATGAAAACGAAATAATTGATTCTAGCATTGATTTATTGACAAATTTCTTTTGAGAAATATGTTCCCAGCCATCTAATTAGATTGTAGTATGATTTTTACTTTATTTTTCGTCGTCGTTATTTAGTAATTTAAAAAAACCAATTCTGAAAACGTATCCAACTATCCACCCACAAAGTAGGCGTTTTGAACGTCGAATTTGCGCTCAAACTCAGGATTTACAGATCTTTAAAAAGTTTGATATGTCTCAAATGAATCCGAAAGAAGCTTTAAAGTTTAAAGTGTAGCATTCCCCTTTAAACCTCTATCTGAGTATTTGTTTGGAAGATATTGTCGTTATTTTATCTGAAAATGTCAAAAATACTCAAATGTCAAAAAATTAACATGCCATTATTTAATCGGAGGTTCACTTGAAATTAATCTACAGTCCTTTTAATTCTATTAATTTTCACAATATATCAGATATTCATATTATCTGATATGCAAAATATATCAGATATTCATATTAATAGACTATAAAAAGTATTTACATAATAATTTAAATAAATGACGATGACTACTAAGTGTTGTAGATGGGGGAATTTTCATCAAGTTTAAAAACATTTTCATGTTATTTCATAAAAAGGGGAAATTATTATCATTTAACTAAAAGCTTTCTAGTGATGAGTAGAAAATATGTCATGTAATTATTAATTACAATGACATATTTTCTGAGGCTGAGAGTTTAGAAATGATGTCTCACGTTTGTGTTACAGCTTTTTTGTTTCTGGGCAACGAAACCAATTTAAAAACAAGCGTATTGATAAAATGGGCAAATAAGGTAATAAGAAAGGGAGGAGGCAACGACACTCTTGTTATGTTCAAAGAATGTTACAAAGCAAACTAGACAGAAGGAAAAGTTAATTTATGCGACATAACTTTTACGACTTTGTGACCTCTTAGCTCCTCTTGCATTGGTTTTACGCACAGTATGAGGAAACCAAATATATTTGTTTACATAAATATGGAAACTTAAAACATTTTTTGGTCTTCTCAACAGCTGCTCAAAAATTTAAAAAGCATGAAAAAAATAATGAACACGTTGGACATTAAATCTCAAATACCTAGTCTTTTATATTTTTAAAAAGTAATTGTATTATCTGAACCCATTTTTAGTTCAGAAAATACATTTAATTTTTTCTTCAAAAATTGAAGACTAGGTATTCGAGATTTTTGGGGTCCAATGTGTTTTTTAAAAAAGTTTTTGGAGGGGGAGGCGGGAAATTTCTTTTTTAATTTTTGCGTAGCTTTTGAAGAGACCAAAATGTTTTTTTTTTGAGTTTTTCGGGGTCCAAATTTTTCATAATTTAAAAAAAATCTCCTTATGCAAATTTTGAATGAATTTTGATGAGATTTCAAAATCTATTAATGTTTTTTATTACACTTTCAAAATTACACTTTTGTAATATAGTATAAAACGACCAACAATGGCTAAAACAATCCCCATAAGTTTTCATTTTTTTGGTGGCTGTTAATGACGGTGCCGTGACAAACTCCTGAAAGACAAACTCCTGAAAGACAAACTCCGGAAAGACAAACTCCGGAAAGACAAACTCCTGAGAAACAAACTCCTGACGAGACAAACTCCTGACGAGACAAACTCCTGAAAGACAAACTCCTGAAATTATGAAATTTTTCTCTGAATGANCTGTTTTATATTCTGTTTTATATTCTGTTTTATATTCTGTTTTATATTCTGTTTTATATTCTGTTTTATATTCTGTTTTATATTCTGTTTTATATTCTGTTTTATATTCTGTTTTATATTCTGTTTTATATTCTGTTTTATATTCTGTTTTATATTCTGTTTTATATTCTGTTTTATATTCTGTTTTATATTCTGTTTTATATTCTGTTTTATATTCTGTTTTATATTCTGTTTTATATTCTGTTTTATATTCTGTTTTATATTCTGTTTTATATTCTGTTTTATATTCTGTTTATATTCTGTTTTATATTCTGTTTTATATTCTGCAAGGAAGCATTGTAATAAATTCAGTACTGATAAATGACTTAGAGGCTTACTTTAAAATCATTTTAAAATAAGTGAAGGCTCGTTTTATATAATAATATGAGATAATGTTTTGTTGAAATAGTTTTTACCGGTTAGCTAATAGTTTAATAATAATTAATTATTTTCAGCTGGTTTTTTACAGTACCGCAATCCAGCCAAGATGATCTTTAACAATCGGAGCAAAAAACCGTAAGTATTAAATCTAATATTTCCATTTTAATTATGACCTACTTTTTTCATAAGCCGACTAAAATTCGTATTTAATATGTTTATATTAAATGATTTGAAAGCAATACATATGTTTAGCAAATAAAACGTTTTTTTCAACAAACTCTAATTTATTATCCCTATTTCTTTGGATCCCAATGTTGCATACCTTTAATATTTCAAATTATGAATGCGGTTAGTTCAAAAAGTTTAAGTTTGAAATATCAAAGATTTACAACTATTAGGTTGCAAAGATTTAGGGATTTGAACATTTGAGTTGTGACAGAAACGCTGAAAACATTAAACAAATCTTTAATAAATATGTAAGTAACTAGAAAGAAAGTATATTTTGTATATATTCCTCCAGTTGAAGGGTTTCTTATCAGCACTCAGTTCCTATATACAGATAAATCCTCAACTACTGAATAAACTCCGTTGAATTAAATAAATTTCGATACAGACAAAAATTATCATAAGTTTTTTTTAAGGGGGGGGGGCGGGGAAGTGTGATTGTGAAATATTACAAAAAAGACTCTACAATCGACGTACATAAAAAGTATATATGAATATGCAGAGTTCACACTTTATACTAGTTTAAACTCCAATTTTACGGTATTATTTGCACACCATTTGTTGGGAGAAAAATACGGATTACTCGGCAAGGTTTAAAGAATGCCACTTGGATTCAGACATGCCACTCCAAGGTACTAATACAAGGAAAGTTAATTGCAGTTGCGTATACTCTGCGTACACATTGAAACCAGTTCTCTCTGGGCGGACTTTATAAACAAGAATAGATGCATCAGTGTTCGTTTAGTATCCGAGGAGATTAAAATAATTTAATTTTGATAATTTTGAAAATTCACATAATAGTTTCCTTTGACCAGAATATTTCATAGATTATTTTTGTAAAAATTGATTCCATGTCAGGCTGTGACACCCGTCTTGTGTTTACTTTTCCGCCAAAAGACAGTACACTGAAGTACAAAAATGTGTACACCTCTGAAACAACTTTCCTTGCATTAGTACCTTGTGCCACTCTATGAATGTAGGTTCATTCAACTTAAAGGATAATTGCTCTAAATATATATCTAAAATTTCAGACAACTCTCTATAAATAATGTTATGGAGCAAAATTTGATGGTTGTAATACGTAGACATATTATAAAATACATTAAGAGACCGGAAGGTGTGGAGAATCTAATTTAATATTTAGAACTGAGAAGAGAAGGAACCTATTTACACATTCAGATACCTTAGCTTCTCTTAACAGCGAACAGTCTAACCTCTCAAATTCTAGGTTTGAAAAAAAATTATTTTTTAATAAATTGTAGTTACATACAGTGAGAACCGGAAAACTGTGGAATATGAAGACGGTATCAAAGTAATAATTATATGTAATTGATGTTGCTACATAGAATAAAGTTTTACTATTATTAAATCACAAGTAAAATGGTCAATTTATACTGCACAATTGCTGTTTCTAATGTTCATTGGGTTTACTTTAATTTAAGTCTAAAAGTCGTCTTCATAATCGAGAGTTTAATGGTTCTCACTGTATGAAAATCTGTCGTTTTAAAATCGGCTTTCCCTTTGTTTGGAATAATTTTTTAAGTATTTTGTTCTTAAAGGGAGTGTTAGTGTAAAATTAAACGGGATTAATACATATGTTAAAACCGAATCAAATTTGTTTATGGATCTGTATTTCCATCCCACATCTGATCTATCTCTACATAAAAAAAACAAAGCAAAGGGATCGATAACGAATTTGATTCTATACCAATCAATGTTCCATATACATTTTTAACTTCAAATTTAGCCTAAACATTTAAATTTCTAGTATTTTGAATTTAAGCTTAAAGCTGATTTAACTTTGTAATCTTAATTCATAATCTTAATTAGTTTATCCTCACAGACAAGAACACTTTTAGAATAAAAATATCCTCCTTTTCAATATTGATTTATTAAGATTTAATGTATTTTCCAACTTCAGCATGACGCGGCGTAAAACTGGTTAAACCGGCGGTATACGGTTCAACTACTTCTCGATATTCATGAAATCTTTTTACTAGGATATTAACATTCTATATACATTGTCTCTGAAAAAAGTACGTTTAGTCTTTTAGCCTACTGAACATCGCTGTATTATGTTAAAGGTGCTCCTATGGTCTAAGATAAAATAATACAAGATAAGATATTGTTTATTGCTAAAAATACACATACAAGTTATAATGTTACAGGCAAAAAATCAGCAACTATTTTTATATCGTATGTATTATGGCAATTATTATAGGTACAATTTCCATAGAGGGGGGGGGGGGTGGTCGTCGATGAATTATTTCTTCCTATGTCGTTTTAACTTTGAAAAGTATGACTATTATTCGAATAATTTGCTCGGTCTCTTTTCCAAAGATTTTTTAAATTAAATTTATGTCTACATTTTATACAACAGAATAGAATAAATTACGCCTTTTCAATGATAGAATTAAGAATTTTTCAAAATAAATGACCAAAAAAGATGTTGGAAATCTTAGGAAAATGGATGGAGTACATTTCGAGTACATTTTGAATGTTTTAACGACATTTTAAAGCAACATTTTTCACAGACGACCATCCAGTTTAGTGGATGAAAAGCCAACTAATATCTGCGGAAATGGGGACAAATACATTTTCGAATGTTAGGTCTAATTTTGAAGGTTAAAATGGTCGGCATTTTAGAGAAAAATAATTCATAGACGACTCCCTGTATAACTTTATCTACTTTTTTGGCATAACATAACCTAGCATGAACTTGACATTCACAAATCGTTTCTTAATTTTACATAGTTATTAGAACCTCGAGGGCAACTTCCTCTGTGGAATATTAAAATAAAACCCATAATTTGATATACATCATCATTTATTATCGTAAAATTACCCCCCCCCCCCTAGGAAACCCTGGTAAACAACTTCAAAGATTACTCAGAAATATCTAAATATATGTGAAGTTTTTTTTTAATTTTTGGTCTCATGAATAAAATACAGTCTTTTCTATACAGATGTTAATAAAAGATGTTACGGTGAAAAATAAGTGTTCTGCTGCAGTGAACCATTATGTAAGGCAATATGTATGAACAAGTCTCGCAGGTATCAGGGCTGCAGTTTGAAGTTTAATATTTGTTTTTAAAGTGTGGATTCTCTGCTCCAAGCCCGGGAGGCAGATCCCGTTGAGGTCCTCATAGGTTTAGGATTCGGAGGTAAATCTTTCACAGAAACTATTAAACTATTTTTTTAACAAACATTTTTTTTCAAAAGCTATTTTCAAGTTTTGATAATTTTTTAACGTTTACTTTTGTTATTCGCACCCATCTAAATTTCTTTTATTGTCATATAATGTCTATATGGACGTTTTTCTACGCAGATAAAAAAAATAATAATAATAAATTCGACTATTTGACGGTTTTCGTTGGAGGTTATTTAACTAATAAAATTTTAAGGGGAGGGGACAGATTTAAATCCTTGCCGGCAAAAACCTACCACTAAGCCCTTTACTGGGGCCATGTCCAATAAGATTTTATTCGATCGGTGCAGCGAGGGGAGGATGGCAAATCTATGAATCTGGACTAGAATTCAGTCGGTTGGAGGCCAAAATTAAGACAATATTCAAAAAATACTTTCCACAATATTAATTTCCATAATTTTCTAAAAATTACCAAGCCGCAAGCAAACTAACCTAATAAAAAAAACATGTTCAATTCTAAATCTGGAATAATAAGGATTATATTGGCCCATTACAACTTTTGAAGACATGGCAGTTTATATTTAAGATGCTCGCCTTTTGATGCATATGGAAAAAAACGTTAATCAATCAAAACGGGCATGAGGGCAGAGAGAATGTCATAAAAATTAAACAAAACACCTTTTTCGGGATAAAACGATTGGCAATTTTTACATTTCACATGTATCTCTTATTATAAATTCAATATTAATAGTTTAAAAAATCTTGAGAACACTAATTACTAAGTACTGACTACTGAGCACATTACACACTAGCTCCTTCGATCATTTCTATAGACCCTGACCTGCCACTCTCCCCGAGTTCAATCGTACAGGTAACGAATATACATACATTATGGCTTATTTTTAGGTAAATCAAGCACTGTCTCTAGGATTCCATCCAGATTTTTTCAGTCAAAATCCAAGGTAAAAAATTTCTTGACTATTAAACACAATTTACTTTACCCGTATTAATTTTAATGTTTGATTATCGAAGGCAAACATTGATATCAATGCGTTCCTACAAAGAGAGGAAGAACAGGAGGAACGGTTTCAGTCTGGATACTGTGGATACAGGGGTTTAGTGGGGAATTCAAGTAGGAGGCCATCGGAAATAGTTGAGAAGATTATAGCTACCCTAAGGTAATAATAACAAGAAATTTTTTTCCGTTAAACATTTGTCAAAGAGTGTAGCAAAATGTACAGGCCAAAGAGATATCAGGTCTTTTGCTTGATCAATTATAGAATATCTTCTGTTAAAAAAAAAGCTAAAAATGTGATTTTTTACGCATCCCATTTGTAAAAATGCCTTATATTTTTAAACAACATTTTTCAGATGTCATTATGTAAGAGTGAAATTCTAGGCCGTTAAGCTGTAACTGGTCTAGTGAAATACAATGTTATGACGATAAAAAAAATTCAAACCGGTTTTAAGATACATGTATGTATAATCGGATATTGAGTTTTATCATTTTAAACGACAAACTTCTTCTTAAAAATGTTTGTGGTTAATAATAAGCTTAAAAATTACCAAATACGTTTAAATTTCTAGAAAAGGCGTTATTTTTATCTTTAAATATATTGATCAATTGTGTAGAAAACCTGATGCTTTGTCTTAGTGTTAAGAAGGATTTAAATATTTATCATTTTGAAGAGAAAGAGAGCGTGAATTGAGACGGAGAGATTCTACTCAATCTTGGACGGTGTCCTCTACACCATGTCTGCAAAATATTCCTGCAAGGTAAAAAAATAATAAAAAATCCGAAATTTCCGCATAAAAGCATTTTCTTTTAATCCAACATACATATATTTACTCTTGGTTTTATTTTTTCTTTGTACCGTTAGGTCTTGGTAACTCATGAAAACAATAAACAATGGGTGACGATAGAACCTTCAGGATTAATATCTACATAGGAATAGGATCAGACGACTGTACACATTTCGTTCCTCCATTCTTTAACCTATAAGTTCTTCTTTGTCGCTATTTCAATGTCACATTCGTCACATCAACTATTAGCATTTACAACATTATATCAACAAAGGATAGGTAGGATACCCCTCAGATTAGCAGTTTCGGTGCAAAAGGTCGTTTTCTGCCGAGTGTTGTACGAGTTTCGAGATTTCAAAATACCGGGCGCAATACAATAGACACATATAGGTTAAAAACAAGGCTGAGGGGGATGGACAACTGCAGTGGCATAAATAAGGGGGGTTATTGGGGTTATTTACCCCCCCCCCCCAAGAATGTTGGAGGTAATTACCCCTGAACTATTCAGGTCAGGCCCTGAATAGCGAGTTGTGACTTTGTGTTTTTAAAAAAAAGGTTGATTTTAAAATTGAATATCATTTAAATTTGCAAGAAAATAATTTAAATGTGCAGATACTAGATATTTCAGATTTTAAACCAACATTCTAAATGATTCTAAATGTCAATGTCATTACAATTAGATGTTTTTTGATAGAAGAAAAGGGTATGGGCAATGAAAAAAACATTTTTTACTTCTAAATAATGTCATTTCCATATTAGATTTATTTAAGATCTTAACATACTACATTGATGACAAGCAAATTTTAGAAATTAGAAATAAGAATATAAACAAAGACAATATTTTTCAAAGCTTCACAGAGTAGCTTTTCTAAAGATTTAAAAAAGTAACATCTTTTTCCTCTTTATTATTTTTTATCTTACTTAAAATAAATTCAGTTTATTACAGATCTTTGTAGTTAATGTAAAATGAATGACTATAATGAAGGGTATAAAACAAGGTGAAAGCTGAAATGTACGAAATGAAGCATTTATTTGCATGATGGAGTTTGAAAATTCCAGAAATGAGTGGAAAACGCAAATCAAACCCAATTAAAACCAATAATTTGATAAACATCATGATAAAAAATTTTTTGGCGCAACTGTAACAAAAAGACTAATGGACACTGGCAACGCCGAGTCCTCTGTAATATTTTAATATAGAAGAAAGAATTTAACTTTTGAATGGTGGTATAATTAAAGCATTCCATATCTCCGTTTAAAGCTTATTCTTTGTGACAATTTACAATTACATATAGATAGATGAATTATATACGTATAATATCTTTATTTTAGGTTTCGTTTGATGGATCCAAATCGGCCAACTTTCGAAACAATCGTGAAACAGTTAACAACAGCACCCATACCCAGCTCCCCAAGAAAATCTGTCGGAAAATTTAAGATGATTGCTAAATCTGTATTGTGCCCTGAAAACCAAAACTGGAGACGCGAACACACAAAACATACTCATGAACGACGTAAACTACATCTAGGGGGTAAGTGCTTTCTTGTTGACAATGATGGAAACGAAATCATTGAGGAGGAAGAAGAAATACTAAATGAGGAAGATGGAGGAGGCCAACGGAAGTTAGAACATCAAGATTCATTGATGTCCTTAACCAGCACTACCAGGTCAAACAAGTAACCCTTTTAACAGGTTGAAATAGCTCATCTATACACAAATATATCTTTACAAAAATTCAATACTGAAGAAAAAATCTTTAAATTGATTTGTATAGATCCAATATTTATTTTGTTAAAAGAAAATGTACATAAATGATTTCAATCGAAAATGATATAAAAAGTGTTCTAAAATTTGTTGATTGAAATCGTATATGTTGATAAAAGTAAGAGTGTTTTTCGGCATTCACAGAATTATATATTTAGTATTGAATCTGACTGGAGTGATGATGAGAGAGAGGAGTTAGAAAAACTTTTTGGTGTAATGTCAGAGAAGGGGGAGGAATATACAAAACTTAGGCAGCTTCGTAGATCAAGGCAATTAAACATTAACAAAAATTTAAAATGTTTTGTAATGAAATAAATTGAGTCATTGATGCACAAACTACAATTTTCTAATCACTATATCTTTGCAACCTGATGGTGTAAATTTTTATATTTCAAACATAAATTATTTTATCTAAATTCATAGATTGAAATATCTAAGGTTTCGACATCGGGTTGCAAATATATAGAGATTGAGGTTACGACATCGGGTTGCAAATATATAGAGATGGGAAAATCAGAGTTTGTGGCTAAGACTCGTTTCTTTGTTAAAATGTTGAATTTATCATAATCAGTTTAAAAACAAAGATACCTAAACTTTTTAAAGTCGAAGGCTAGCGACACATATTTCTAATATAGTATTTAAATAGGAGGAAGTCTCGACGGACGGGAGGCTCTAGAACAGGAGGAGGAACATCCAGCACTGCGAGCTGGGACGGAGCAAGATTAGTTTATTCTAGAGAGAGTTCTATTAGTGAAATTACAGCATCCATGGATGGGGCAGCATCAGAACTAGAAACTTCGACAAGAAACTAGAAGAATATTAACCAAATAAGAATTCGTGAAGCAAGGATTAAGTAATAATTTTATATCAGTTTGAATATGATAAATACGATTTTAATTAAATTGTAAAGATCGCTAGATATGATCGCTAGATATGATTATGATTGTGAATAAAAAAGGCCAGTTAGTCACTGAGAGTAAACCAACAAATTCAACAAATTAATGATGAATAACTCAAGGTGTCCCTGAGCTCCCTGAAGTAACCCCTCAATTTTGGACGATAATTTACATAATTGTAAAATCTAAAAGAACCTTCTCTGATCCGCAGGAAGGTTAATTCAAGTTTGGAGTTTTTCAAATACTCCGAATCATTGTGCAAACAATTCATAAACTGAACTAAATTCATGCTCAAAAGGTATACCCATAGGAATTTAGGTGCCCCAATCAACTTGAAAATGGCCTAGCTTTAAGTTCCGATAATTTATGAATTAGAAAGAGTAAATAAAAATAGTTTTTACGTCTTATGAGCATTAGTTAACTTCTAGTTAGAATTCTAGGCGACATTATTAACCTTGTCTGTCCCTGCTTTTCCTTCCAAGAACACTGTGAAAATTTTTTGCCAATGTTCTATTTGTTATTTTTGAATTTTCCACTCTCACATTTAGATTTTATTGTGTCTAGAAACTATTAACAAATACAATATTTAAAGATTAATTTTGTATTTAAAGGCAACTGATTACTCGCTATGAATTCTGCCAAATCAAAAAGAAGTTTGAAATATTAAAAATTTACACATTCAGGTTGAAAAGATATGCAAAAAACTAATTTTGTCTCTTCGCTGAGGTGCAGCCGTTTGACGTTTATTGGATACAAACAAACAGGTAGGCAGACAGATCGGCAATCAAATTATATATAGACTAGGATTTTAGAGCTCTTCGTGCCTATATTCTATTTCAATTGTATACATTTTCTCTTCATATACATTGTAAAACAAAAACAAAACAATATTTGCGGATTTTAAAAAAATTTCGTGGATTTTTAGAATTTGATGAAAATTTAATTTTGTTACAGGCAAATCTTTAAAAATTCGATCATCCACAAACCTTCCCTGGGGTTATGTGAGGTCCCACACAAAATGTGGGCCCCTCGGGGTTTTAATTTCCATTGATTCTAAATTTACTATCATATTTTTTTTGGCGTGATCAGGTTGCTTAGTAATCTAAATGACTGGCTGAGGTCTTCGAAAATCTGATTTTGACTTTTTTGAGATACCCTGTATTCAAATATGTCAAAGCCATAGACTACACAGACTGTTCATACACTCTACCTGGATAGGCTGAGCAGGCCTACAGTGTCCCGGCACGCCATGCTACGGTTCCATGTAATGTTTTTTGACTGACATCTAACGACCACGTGTTTCATTCAAGGGTTAAGATTTACAACTTTTAAAGAAATACTCAAATTTTAAACATAAAACATAACGTTTATGAATTTTGTTTATTTTTAAAGATTTTGCATTTCCTATTCAAAGGATCCATAAATATCCCTGATTACAGATGTCTCCTGATTGGTCGTGTACAGTACTTGTACACAATAGAACATGCTGTGGAAAATATCGCATATTATAGGTGTTAATCGATCTCTGTAACTCTCTTATCTCTGGTCAAAGCGCTATTGGATATCCCCCCCGCCCCCCACCCCCAACACCCTATAGTTAATAATAACAAAGGCGTTTAAAAACATACATCCATAGTAAAAAAGGAGTAAATATCCAGTATGTACGACGTACGTGCGTTTGATCTTGCTTTATTACAGTATTTGTATAAGTAGTTTGGAATAGCTGTGAACAGAAAGCAAAAGAATTAGAATATTATTGGAGAGAAATTCTAAGTTTTTATTGCTCTTGGCTAGTCTTTCAGTTAAATCGGACAATTTCCTCCTATTAAATATTGCAAATACAGCACAACTTTTAAGTGGTTTTATGATTTATTTTGCATACGCTCTGCCCTGTGTAATGTGTTGTGTATATTGTATACACAACTTTTAAGGAATGAAGCTAAATATTTAACTTCAAATATCAAAATTTATCAAATGAATTCATTCAAATACTCTTTCATGTTGGGAATGCATCCATATTTTATAATAAAATGTTTGTTTTATTCTCGATTTAAACTTTCAAATCTGGGAAATATTTGGAATTTCAAAATAATTTTTCATTTTGAACAGACAGATTAGGTTCAAGTTTAGAAAGAATAAATATTTTTTCACTTCTTGATCCAACGATGGATTTAATATCATGGGGAAATTGTTCCCTTGCCATAGTGCCGTGAATTTTTAATTTTAAATATGATTCGAATAAAAACAATAATTTTTTTTCTTCATTTGTAGAAAGTAAACAAAGATTTAATTTTTAGGACCGTATTTTGCCTTTATTCTATTTGAAATAAATAATATTGTACCAGGTCATGGGTAGGTTTTTGACATTTTGATATTAACTTGAAATATTTGTACTTATGCCAGGATGTCTTGATCTTTTTAATATTAATTATATCCCTCGATGCTTTGACGATACCTGACTAAGTACATCCTTGTCTTTCCTCTTCTTTTTTTTACCATTTAATACGCTTAAGATTAAAAAAGATCTTATTTCTTTTTATCGGTGTCGCTGAAGTCTGACTAAATATTTTTATCACGATTAGCTCTGATGATAAGATTAATTTGATTATTAAATCTTCCTTTGATAAAGTTTGCTCTTTTTATGAAATAATATTAACTTATCCAAGATTTAGCCAAGTTTAAAAGTAAAAAATTCTTCAAACAAAAAATCATGAAGGAAACACAGGATTCAACCTATAGGATAGATTAAGAGAATGGAGAAGTTAATAAACTAGGACGTATAAAGAGAATAGAAGGATCAGAACCTAAACTATGACCATAGAGAATAGAATATATAGAGAGGAATTTACTAGAAAAAAGTGTAAAACGGCCATTTTGTTGTACTGTTTCCATACTGCAGGTGTACTTCACATATTTATGCTATATAACCTGTTGGGCCCTGGAATATCATTTTATAGAAAATGTAAAATTATTGTTAAAAGAAAACCAAATTATGAAGTAGGCTGGTTTCATAATTGACCAATGATCATTTCACATAGACTCTATGCCTTCCACTTTACAAACGATGATTTTCCGTTATAACTATAAATCAAATGATGTTTTTATTCACCTAATTAATTATAAAGTTTATTTAACAGTTCAAAAAAATCGAAATTGAAATGGATAGTCTAGGGAACATACTGTAATAATGTACTCTACTGCATAAAAATTTGTGAACATTTAAACATGATTTGTACACTTTGAACTCCCTTTCAGGCTGAAAGGGACTGAAAAAATTCATACCGAGAGATTCTTTTAATTCCTCTCTATATATTCTATTCTCTATGACTATGACGGATTAAGAGCATGAAAAGAGTTAATAAACTAGGACATATTAAGAGAATAGAAGGAGAAACAGGCCGGGTTTAGAGAATAAAAGGAGTTAAAAACTAGGGCATATTAAGAGAATAGATGGAGAACCTAAACCAGGACGGATTAAGAGGATGGAAGGAGTTACTGAACTTTTACGTATTAGTAACTAAACTAAACTAGGACGTATGAAGAGGATTGAAATAGTAACTAAACAAGGACAAAGATTCAAAGAGTAGAAGGAAAAAATAAATTAAGGCCAATTAAGAGGATTGCTGTTTTCTTTTCTCTTTTTATTACTATATAATATATATATAAAATTTTGTAATTTTGTAATTTATAACTAGTTGCTTTTTAAAAATCTGTCTTAATTAAACCTTCTCATAAAAAGATTATTTATAACAATTATTAAGGAATTGCGTCTTTGCAACAAACACAAATTTTCTAATGCTCACTGTAGTGTAGAAAAGTTTAATGAATATTTTTTGGTCAAAATACAAACACAGATTTTAATGTTGACACTATTTTCAATTTTTCAAAAGATGCTTTATTTCAGGTCGTCATTCTTAAATATTTACTAATGTTTCAGTATTTATTTTTATCTGGAAGTTACAGCTTCCTTCAAAATGAGAACCAAGGTTTACAAGATGAATAGGAATGGAGAACCAATGTATACAGGATGAATAAAGAACCAAGGTTTACAGGATGAATAGGAATGAAGAACCAAGGTTTCCAGGATGAATAGGAACCAAGGTTTACAGGATGAATAGGAATGAAGAACCAAGGTTTACAGGATGAATAGGAATGAAGAACCAAGGTTTATAGGATGAATAGGAATGAAGAACCAAGGTTTATAGGATGAATAGGAATGAAGAACCAAGGTTTACAGGATGAATAGGAATGAAGAAACAAGGTTTACAGGATGAAAAGGAAGGGTGAAGCAAGTCAATTATGGTTTGAGATTCTATCTATATTTTAAATTTATTTTGCCTGTAATAAATTATTGCTTTATATATTTCAATAATCACCATATGATTATGAAATTTATTTCAAAGGGAGAGGTGCATTTTATCTCCTTAAGGAGAAAGGTGGTGTGTGCCATTACCCCCCCTCGCTATTGGTGGCTGAAGGGGGGGGATGTACTTGAAATACAGAATAACATTATCTAGTCACTTCCCCAACCTTTGTTTTAAAAGCATTCTGTAGCTTGTTTTATTAAGTACAAATTGCAGTAAATTCTATCGTGCAAATTTGGTGTTATCGCGTATAAACAAAATAATAAATCAGCAACATTCCCAGGGGATAAAATGCAGGGGGCGGAAACGTCATGTATGTGTGTCTGTACCAAAAAAAATGTGTGTAAGTGATAACGAATCGAAGGCGTGTACTGCAGGTATATACGGTACATAATAATCTCGGTATTTGTACAGTCTAGACTCGTTATTCAAACATAATTATAATTGACGACATTGTTCTGCAATTTCCTTGACTCTAGTTATATTGTGTGTCTGGGTCAAAACTCAAAAGGGTGTGCGTGTGAGATAACGAACTCTTCTGCAAAACAGTACGACTGACTTTCTCATGTAAGACCAGCGCCATTCCCCTTCCCTTTATTCTTATTCCCTGATAAAATGCCATGTGTTAAACACCAGGCCCGTAATTAGGGGGATGGCACAGGGGCACGTGTCCCCTACTTTCCACAGAAGGGAGGGGCCCATTATCTGGAACAAAACGAAAAGAAGAAAACAGAAATTGGATAAAAAGAAAGGAAACAAGGGGTAAATAAGAGGGAAGAAATCTATTTTTGTCAAACAGTATGTATTATAGGTTATTTTTCTGCAAATTCAAAACATTTTCTGCAATCAATGATTTTTCAATTTTTATTTGTCTGTGAAAATATCAGGTTTAAAATTATTTCTAACAAATTGAGAACAGTGAAACTTATCTTTCCATTCTTTTTATAAGTTAATGATTTTTATCAACTACCTAGACAAAAGTAAAAATATTGAGAAATTGAAACTAAAGATAGAATTTCTTTGAACTCATACTCTAGCTTGCAGGTGTAGTTTGATAAAATTCACAATTTAGTAAGTTTTAATTAGTATTATGTAATTAAATACGTTTGTCAACCAAAATGCTTTACAGGAATAAAAATTTAAATCTCAAAAGAATATTTTAAAATAAAATTTTTGAAAAACCGAATATTTCCATGGTTTATCTTGAGTTTTTACATCCTTTAGATGCTATTTCCTTGTCCTGTAAAAGATTTTTCGACAAAATTCGAGCAAGTAAAATTTTCAGTATGCATAAACATTAACTCATTTACTTATAATCAAACCGTAATATCTTTTCTGAATTTTTTATGATGTACGACAATCGACATCAGTATTCCTTCAGTTATGCAGTTATAAAACTAAATATCTTCTCAATAGGTTGTAAGAGAACTGCTTTAAAACTGACAAATTATCTATTTAAAATTAAATATAGTGTATAAAGTTAAAAATCAGTTTTTAGTCTAACCTCAAAATTTCTACCTGTCCGTTTATCCATGCATGATTGTATACTTAATCTGTGGAGGTGATCTACTCAATTGTTTTCAATTTCCAAATCTTTTAGGTTTTACATGAAAAAACATGTTTGTTCAGAAATAGAAAATCCTGTAAATGAAATATTTTAACAGTAAACAATGTCAAATGTCAACTCGAGCTCGAATTAATATTAAAACCTTTTGATATTTAGAAATATATAAGTGAAAGTGCTGAAATTAAATAATTTTGTGAATAAATACAACGGGTTATCTGGTCTCAACCAACCCACTATTTATATGAACAGTTGACCCTGCAATAAATTAAAAAATGTACACAAAATATATAAGATAACCCATGAATTTCCATCTCGTTTGATGATTACCAAGAAATGACAGCATTATACTGTCAAATTAGAAAATACAGTCCATGGCTATACACCGTCCGTCGATCCGCGTCAACCCTGCATCCTGTTTAGTTTATCTAGACTGTAATTTCAGTAATCCACAAGACGAGCGAGGGAACGCACATGACACACCATTTTTTCTTCCGCACCAAAAATGACGTTACAACTCATCATTATTTCTTTAAAAGGGGACAGAGAGTCCATGTTTGGGTACGGCCCTATTACAAGTATCACCCACCTCCTTGAAAAAATAATAAATATCTCCCCCCCCCCTTGAAAGTTCCTAAACCGCAGTTGCACCTACCATGCATTTATTATTCTTCATAACCTTTTTCAAGCTGTAATATTCTGTAAACTGATATCTAGCGAGTCTAGTTGGTTTTCAAATAAATCCACAGAGATAAAATTCATAATATTTATTCTCTTTAAATATTTTCTTAATCCTTATATTGAATGCGGTATAGATGTATTGTAAAGTTGTAACTGATATGAAAACTGCAGGAGTTTGTAAGTTGCCAAGCAAATGTCTGGCAAGTTTGGAATGATTGGAGAACCATCATGTAAATGTCAATCAATCTTTAGATAAAAACTTTATGTTTGGGCCTCCTGAAGTCCAAGGTTGCCCACTACAACGGATGAAACTTATATGACAAATTGAAATTTATCTAAAGAGGTGGGAATTCTCTAGAGTCTGGACATGGGTATTTTGTTTCACTAACTACTTTCCTAGACTACTCACTGTACTTAATCGGCAGGTTTTTAAAAAAGATATTTCATCAAAATTATATGTTTGTTATGTATCGAAAGATTGCACACAATCCTTTAAGACTTAACATTTAAATATTACCACGCAATACACTATATCGAAAAAAACCAGCTTTTCAGTTATTATACTACAATGGATATATTTAACTATATTGCATTTTTTTCAGGGGCGGATACAAGGTTATTTTATGGGGTTGGGATTCATTAAGATTTTATTTTAGGATCTCCCTTAAAGTCATGTTATTTTGGGCTTGATCGGTTTAGCCATTTTAACATTAATTGGAAACCAGCAGCAGACGAAGCAGACCAGTCAAACATTATCTAAAAAAATAGCTTTGTAGATTTGGCCTAGTCCTGACACTGAGGATCAGGTCTTTGGAAGAATACCCATCATATTTTTTAGAATGTAAAAATAATAAAGCTGGAAAACGATCACTATTAACCCACAGTTGGATACATTTCTCCTAATTCTTCCCTCTTTCTGCTAGTAAATATAGAGAAGTCTTGGATTTATTGAATTCTTTTGAAGCTTCTCAGAAACTTTTCAAATTCTCATGCATCATTTAAACATCTGTCAATATAGTGAACTCGAAACCATCTATATATATTTTGGTGACTGAAAAACCTATCCCAAACATCTAAACCATAGCAATGCATAATTGTAAAAGGAATATGTTAGGGTTAGAAGCATAACAAAATAAAATACTCAGGATCGTTCTTCAAGATATGTATCGAATTATGTGTTTTGGTTGGATTTGATTTAAATTTTCCAATCATTTCTGGCATTTACAAACTAGCTCTTTAAAGGCTTCCTAATCGCTATACATGTATGTAATCTGTAAAAAACTGGATTTATTTTAACCATTTTGCATATTGATTTATTATATAAATCAATAATGTCGTCTTTACCAAAACCCCTCTCGGAGAAGTTCCAAACTAAAGAAATAATCTGGCAATTTCTCTGTACTCCGACAAGAGGATATAACACCATAGTGAAACATTTTAGTCAGTGAATAATCAAATCCACAAATAACTTTGCAATCCATAGTAAATTCCACTTAAACAGTCGGGTTGATATTTTCAGAAGTATTTACAAATGTTTTAAACTACTTCATCAAACCCTCCGATCCAATCACTCCTTATCATCCCGACACAGCTATATAGTAAGCCATATAATTAAAGATTCAATAATCGCCATTTATTTTTACTATATCTGTATTTTTTTGTAGGTTTGAAATATATCCGTTCACCTGATTATTTGCAACTTTGTATCCGAGTTGAGGAGCCTAATCAACAAACCAATTAACCAACGCCCCAACTAACCAATGAACCAACTAGCCAATTAATAAACTAGCCAGCAAAACATCTAATTATCGACGCCCCAACTAAGTTTAAACATTTCAAACTACTAATCTGAAACTAAATTGACGTCATTCAATCTCTTCAACAGGATACTATCCATGGAGACAACACCAAGGCCCCATGCCAGGAGCGTCAGAAATCATGCACCAGGAATTCTCCCTGCCTTCTACAGGGATGTATGATCTGTGGCACACCAACCAACCACGTGTTAGCAATCTGTATGTGCACCTGAGCAACAGCAATGCCACCCCAACCTCTCTATGCGTTCCAAAATGGAATTCAGATGAATGATATCCATGAACTGAAAGACATAACAAATTTGTACATCCTAACCATGAAAACATACCTCCATGAAACCCGACTAACCACCATGAACATCCTCAACTCCCGCCTTCCGCCAGCAGTTAACATCATTGACCTTCAACCAAATACTGACCTTCAGCTTGTTGATCCTAAATCAACCAAACCAGATCCTTCAATGAAACCAGATCCTTCAACTGTACCTGGCCCTCCAACCGAACCAGATCCTTCAACCAAACCAAATCCTGATCCTTCAATCGGAACAGATCCCTCAACTAACCCAGATCCTTCAACCAAACCAAATCCGTCAACCGAACCCAATCCTTCAAACAAACTAGAACCTTCTACCGAACCAAATCATTCAACCAAACCAGCTCCTCCAACCAAACTAGATCCATCAACCGAACCCACTTCAGCAACTGATCCAGATCCTCAACTAAACCAGATCCTCCAACCAATCCAAATCCTTCAACCAAACCAGATATGTCAACTGAACCAAATCCTTCAACCAAACCTTATCCTTCAACTGAACCAGATTCTTTTACTGATCCAGATCCTCTTACCAATCCAGATCCTATCCTCCAATCAGACCAGATCCTCCAATAAAATTAGACCCTTCAACCAAGCCTGATCCTTCAACAGAACCAAATTCAGGAACTGATTCAGATCCTTCAACCAAACCAAATCCAGATCCTTTAACCAAACCACATACGTCCACTGAACCAGATCGATCAACTGAACCCAATCCTTCAACCAAACCAGACCCTTCAACTGACCCAGATCCTTCTACCAAACCAAATCCTATGACCAAACCAGATCCTTTGACCAAACCCGCTCTTCCAACCAAACCATATCCTTCAACTGAACCTGATCCTCCTACCGTACCACATATGATCTCTAACCGGAAATAAGTGTGAGCTCTATTGCTAGTTGTCACAGGATGTAGAACTCGTCCTCCTGCTTTCGGGACTAGGGTCTACACCGAATAGTGAAATGTTTTAGATTAAACTCCACTTAAAACCAGGTTCATATTTTCAGAAGTATTTACAAATGTTTTAAACTACTTGATCAAACCCTTCAATCCTTAATCAATCCTTATCATCCTGAGCTAAATATAAGCTATCTAATTAAACATACAATAACATTTATACATTGCCATTTACTATATCTGTATTTTTGAAGGTTTGAAATATATCCGTTTACCTGATTATTCGCAACTTTGTGTCCAGGTTGAGGAACCTTATCAACAAACCAATTGACCAACGAACCAACTAGCCAACCTAACATATAATTATCGACACCCCACCTGAGTTTCAACATATATATAGGGCTGGGCACATTCGGACTTTTTTTAAATTGTTCCGTTCCGTTCTAGAACAAGGGCCTTCAGCTAGATCGTTCCGTTCTCATTCCTTTTTTTCAATCATTCCATTCTGTCCCGTTCCCTTTTGTTCCGAGTAGAATAACAGTCCAACCATTCTGTTCCGTTCTTAGTCAAAGAACGGTTCCATCCCCACGTTTCTTTCTTAGTCAAGAAGTTTCCATCCCCCGTTCAGTTCTTAATAAAGAACGATTCCATCCAAGACAAAAGTTTTCTATACAAGAGTTGGTTAAAAAGTAAAAAAATTACGATTTAATAATAAAAAATCCTCAAGGACGTAAATATACTATAAATTATATATTTTAAATTTAGAGTTAAAAGAATAATCATAGATAAATTCTGGGCCGAGCAATGTATAATTTAGTGAGAGCGGGTGGAGGGGGCGGGAGACCTAAAATCCTTAATATGTAAGACTGGCTGAAGGGCCCAGAATTGCCTGTAATACCCCTGGCCACCCATGAATTTCCACAAAAGATTTCAGCCCAATCGGTCAGGCCGTTTGGCCGGGGCCGATTTTACGCAACATATAAATATATAAGAATGTCTTGTTTTATTATATAGATATACAGATGTTAAACTGAAACCTGCTTTGTAGTCTGTTGTCAGTTTAGCAAAAATGAGAGTTCTAAAGAAAACTTTTCAGTAGAATATATATTAAATGTGTTTATATGTTTATATAAGTATTTCTGTACAAATGTATGTATGCAAATATAGAAAATGTACTATTTCAAAACAATTTTAGAAATACTAATTACTTTTAATCAAATTTTTATTGTGCATATTAACAACTACAGGGTTTAGCACGCAACATCAGTTGAGAGACGATTTTAAGGAATAGTTAATCTCCGGTAATAATGAAAGGTCAATAAAGGCAGGCCACATTTAGAATTGCGAGGATAGGGGAGTTTGTTTGTTATTGTTTCAAGAATCATACAAAAAGTATATCAAATATCAAAGACGATCTTCAAATCGTCTCTCAACAGTCATGTTTCTTGGGACATCCTGTATGATGAAGTATATTCTTCTGAAGAAGAATATAAACACGTCGATGAAGAAATATTATCATAACATATACGACTGTAAATTTTATATATCTCCCGAACTCTGATATCGTAAATAAGTTTTTCGCGTTTTCCAAGTTTCTGTTTTAATTTCTTATTCCAGGTGATTACCACAGAACAGGTAGTATAGACTTGGAACCACACTGATGTAACTCGAAAGGCATTTACTAATCATACAGGTGCATATAGGTGAGTAATCAATCAATCGACCTGAAGAGTTTGTGCACATTATTGTAAAACTCTTCACAGTGGGTCCAGTAGTTCCGGGGAGGGAGCGTGGCTAGAACTTGGATTATGGAAAACAAATATTTTATTTCTTTAAGCCTAATGTGCATTTTTACATAAACGTTGAGCACTCTCACACGACACGTACCGGCTTGTATGACGCTGGTAAACGTCAGGGCTGATTCTATACTACCTGTACTGTGGTAATTACAAAGATATGACCTCCCTTATCATTAAAAAATAAGGTGAATTTCAAAAACATTCACGAAAATATAAAAACCCAAAATAAAATTATAAAACCCTAGCCGCTACATTAAGATTGATTTGTGAAGAAATAATGAGTTTTAAGCCATCCTGTGACCAACTAAATTGCAGCCATATGCTTGCAATTTGTCATTCTTCTTCTTCGAGAGTATAAGGGCATTATTAAGATTTTTCTCCCAATCACATAACAAATGTCATAATCACAGGAAAGCTGCATTTAATGACAATTAATTAGACGATTTTACAATAGTATTTGATCTTTAAAAAAAGTTTCCAGAGCTGAAAACTTTAGAATGAGATATTCTTAATCACGATCGCTTAATCTGATTATCCAATGTACACACTTTTTTCTTCTTCTTATAATCCTCTTTTGGATAGTTAATGTATAAAAGTTACGTTCGATAACAATTACAGATACACTGGTATATCGATTTAACCAAATAGATTCTAGTACTGGCAAAGTAAAATGTGTACAATCTCAGTACAGCTGTATTCTTACGTCACAAGTGCCAATTCAGTTTTTGTGTCCGACAAAATTATTAATAATAGTGATAATTTTAGAGTAAAGTACTTATCTTACAGTAAATAAGTGCAGTTTTATGTGTTCTTTATTTTCTATTTTTACACTTTTTTATTTAATCTTGGAAAACATGTCAACTAATTTGAGAACATTTCGTTTTCCTTTATTATATTTGACACTTGTGACGTCATGTATAATTGTTCCATTTCTCTGTTGCCACCAATTGTACTTGATAATCTATTTGGATTAGACTAATTTCCGATTGAATTAAAGTAAGCTGTTCACAAATTATACAAATTTAATCATGTTTATATAAAATAATTAAAAAACATTTTTTAGGACTATTGTTATTTTTGAACGTTAGTCTTGATAAATATTAATTCATAACTTACGTTCGTTCAATTGATATGACACCAGACCAGAAATCAAAACCGGTTTTTCAAAAGTTAAAAGTACATCTTAACATGACACGCTATTTGGTTAAATTTTATAAATTCTTTCTTGGATATCGAATGCGTTTTAAAATAATCTTGGGTTCAGTAAAACCAGGAGTTTAAGCCTTAATCTTGATCTTGATCTTCTAAAGTTTTTAGCTCTGCATTGATTTGTTCATAAATTTTACAAATATGATTAATAAAACGAAAATCTTAAGCTCTACTGTAGTCCAAAATGTAGTCTGCCGTTTTTAGAGCATTTCCGAAAACATGAATGATTTCATTTAAAATTAACCATAATTCTTGAAATCTGATCATTTGGAACACACAAAAAGACAGACCATATATTGGAAATGGCAGGACACCCTCCTGTTAACGTTTTTACATTTTTATACGGCGCCCAGCTTGAAGACTGTATTTATGTATTTAAAATATGCAATATTTGACAAGATAAACTTATTAGTTACAGACCTCAGGGGTATAAATTTTCTAGAATTCAATTATTAAAATAACTAAAAATATCGGCAAATAATCTCTAAAATGATCATTATTCAAAATAAATTATTCAACGGAGGGTCTGAATGTATGAAAATTAACAGCAGTTAGTAAAGAGCAATCACTACGCGGCTCCTTCGATAGGCTTGTACAACAGAGTAGTCACATACTTCTTCCGATATCTAAAATTGTGTGAATTAAAGGACAGAAAATAATCATTGACGTATTTTTAAAAATTTGTTACCTATATTTTCATACCTATTTCTCCTAAGTTTCTGTACTTTCGATTTACATAAGAGTGCAGAAATTTTGATAAAATTACCTTTGTGTAGAGGATATCACCATAACCCCATCCTTTATGGAGAGAGCATAGAGATGATTTATCATGACGTGGTTTGGTTCAGGGAGCAAAGTAGGTTCACAGGAAAGCGGAGTGTCCTTACAGAGATAGGTAAAATAAGTACATTGTCAATGTACAAGGTGTTTTCAATGATTTTTTAAGTACTTCTACATGTCTTAGTCCTGTGATTTAAATTTTATCTATTTAGGCATGTTCTAGGAGGTTGGCAACCTCAAAAAGATAAAAGAAAGGAAGTTTGAGCCTTGATGGGTTTTAACTTTAATTTTTTTTTTTAGGAAACAAATTAGTATCTTTCTCCATTCTCAAAGGCCTCTGTCAGGAGCGTTTGAAAAAAATATGCAAGTTTGTTTTTTCTTCAAAATCTTACGTTACAACTTTGTATGCAACAGTATGGTTTAAATCAATACTTGTAAATAATACCCTTGAAAGCCTTTCGAGTTTGGTTGACTTTTTCTATTTTGTCTTTTTTTTCTGGATTCTTTAAAAGTTTTTTTTTCCTACCTCGTTCTGCAAACATTCTCAATCGAAATCAATTCTTTTGAATGATTGAAAAAAACAAAACGAACTGGGTCGTTCACGAAAAAAAAAGCCTTACGCACCCATCTCTAGATAACGGAAGAACTGAAAAACCATCTGGAAAATGCTGATCACTTAGAAATAATAGATCTGAAGAAATTACCCGGGGATGAATGAAGTGAAATTTAAAAATACAGAGCTAAGACACCGAGAAGTGACTCAAACAACTTTTTTGCTAAACTTAGTAAACACACATCTCATATGAATCATAAATATATACCAACAAGAGCGAACAGTTCGCGTATCTGAGCTGAAAACTTTAGAATGGTGGATATCGAGATTAATGCGTGATCCTTACGTTTTCATAATATCTAAACTAATCTAATCATGTACTTGTATCCTGAAAAGTGTATAAAATTCATCCAAAACGTGTCGCGTATATGAAGCCGATAAATTTGAAATTTTGCGCGCCATTTAAGATTATATACAGAAATGGGAGGAACTCTCTAATTTAGAAAAACCGGTTTTAAATTTATCTCTACTATATCCAAGAAAGAACGGGTTAAGAAGAAAATCAAAAGTTTGTCCATTGGATACTCAGATTAAGTAATCGGGATTAAGGATATCTCATTCTACAGTTTTCAGCTCTGAGCTGAAAACTTTTGAATGGGATATCCTAAATCCTGATCGGATAATTAATCTGGAGATTAAAAATGAGAGGAGAACAAGCAATATTTAATCTCGAGATTAAGAAAAAGAGTGGATTAAGCATTAATCCCGATATCAACCATTCTAAAGTTTTTAGCTCCGGTTACATAAATAATCCTATATACCTTGTTGAGTATAACTTGAAGAAGGTGAGGAGGAAGGATTGGAGGTCCAGCCTTGTTTTCAAATGAGTGAACGCTGGGAATATCCTGACCAAACTTCTGCTCTCCTCCTCGTCTGAAAAAAGTGTGGGGTTTACCTGTCTCTTGACCTTATTTAATTTAACTTAATAAACTTTTAATAATAAAAAGTTTTACTAAATCTACCTTCTAACTAAATGGTCATTTNGAGTGTGTGACACCAGTTCTCGTTAGATCACTGAAGTTAAGCACACTTGTCCACAGCCAGTAACTGGATTGGTGTCCAGACTGGTGTTTACGGGTTCGATTCCGTACTCCACAAAACCTGTGGTTTCAAAAACATCTGAAGCCGACATCTGGTTAAGCAGTTATGACCCCATGACGGATGTAGGAGGACAGAAGGGCGGCTGTCAACAACTCTCGCAGCGAAATGGTGCATGATTTCTACTCAACAAGAAAGAAGCTTTAAGTGGATTGATCCAAGTGAATGATGATGAAGAGAGGAATGGTGAACAAGCAGGGAGAGTCTATGGCACCCGAGTCTCATTCCAGTATATCAGCAGAATTCCTTCACTCTATTATTATTAGGCCTAAGAAGCAGCTGGAATCTTGTCAACCCTCTTCTCAGTATAAATGAAGCGTGGATGGATGAATGTGCTGCCAGAATACCAATAGAAAATAGAAAAATTCTGAGATTTGATCGTGTGCTGGGGACAAAAAAAAACTCTTTAAAAAGATTTTATAAAAACTTGTGAAACTCCAGATTTACTGATTTTTTATCAAATGAAATCTTTTAAAATCTTTTTTCTCGCTTAATTTCCATGCTGAGCCTTTTAGAGATTAGAAAATTATATTTTAAAAATATAGAAGATAGAGGTTCAAATTAGAAAAGATTTTCAGAGCTAGATAACTTGTCCAGAAGGATTGATACCTGTGCCTGGAGTTGGTGGACCTACTATCCATATCAAGAGCAGAGAAAGCATCAAAATCATCTTGATGAATCTAAACAAAGTTCAGTGACATCAAGTGCAACCAGAACTAATTAAACTGATATTATTTTGACATTTTAGGGGTGGCTTGTAACTATTCACCTCCTTCGAATCACAGATCATATTCAAGTATATGTAATATGTATATAGATTAGAGAACAAAAGCACATTTAACCATCACGTTTATTTTATTTAAAAATTAAAATTTGGAAAAAAATGTTTAAAAAACAACACAAGTTCGTTTAAATACTTGCATAATGCTTTAGAAGATAACTAATGAAGTTTATTTTTGAACTACTATTTTAAAAAACAAATAAAATAATGATTAATGATAGGTGCGTACAAAAAAGTCAATAAAAATATATTTCTTTCTGTACAAAAAGCTGTTTTTTTGGTATCAAACAATTTTCATTGAATCCCACAAAAATTAAAACTTATTTATGAGGGTCCATGTTGAAGCCAGATATTTAAAAAGGAATGCAATTTACTCTGACAAAAATTAAAATCAATGGAAATGTGAACCCCCCAGCGAAGCCCAAGGGTTTATCATTGAATTCCTCGGGGGTTTAAATTTCCATTGATTCTAATTTTTCTGAGAGTAAATGATAAAATTGTTCCTCGGTTTAGGTTGAAAAAATGGGCCAAACCTTAATAACATTATTTTTTCCGCTGACATCGCTCTTTACAGAAGGTTGAGCCGGATCATGAATCCATTCATCATCAACAACAAACTGACCATTGTAGTAAATACATGTGGATTGAAATGATAAATGCTTATATAAGATAAATGATAAAGAAAAAATTTAGTTATTTAACAATGAAATACATGGTTCCTTGTATTGATGTTCTCCAACTGGTAAATCTATCAGGGCAACAAAATCCTTCTGAGATTTTACCATGGGAATCTTCTTCCAATCAGAGAATGTGCCGCATACATAAACATCTTTCCCGGTCCCAGGATACTACAAACATACAAACTATTTTTTTCTCATAGATAGAGATTAAACAGAGAGGACTGGGAGCAAACCTAACCGAACTCCCTTGAAAAATTGTAACTTTATTTACGAAGGGAAGTTAATTTCCCAGTCTCGTTAAAAAATGTATATATCAGTAAAGAATATTGAATATTAATCCATTTATTGAAATATTGCTATTTATTTCAAAATAATAAAGAGGGAACAAAATGTGAACACAGTCCCCCCCCCCCTCCACTGCGACCCCTCCCTACCCTATGGAGGGTAGGATACAGGACGTTAAAAAGGCGGCCCGTGTTTAAGCTACAGTTCTAAAAATTACATATTTAAAGCCCGTGGAAAAATGGGTTAATAAATATCAAAAAAATTTCAAAAAATAATCTATTTTTTACATTTAAAACATTTTATGACATTTTTTTAAAACCTTCCTAGCACCTGAACTAATAAATTTAACGGTCTAATGTCTAGGACAGACCAAAAATGGAACAGACAATTTTTAACTTGGATTCTTAGTTGTGTTCCCCCATAAATATATATCTTTATAGATACAAATATGAAGCTGATTTCTTCTTCTATATAATAAAGATTTGACTTAAGGTGACTAACTTGACTTAATTTCTTTGAAGGGACAAATGGGTAACCAGGGGGGAACCACAGACAAAAATATTTTGAAATTTTTTAAATTCCACGGACAACGCTGGGCACTTCAGAGCTAAAACCATAATTGAATACCAAGCGGAGGGAAACAGCGGCAGGAGTAGCTATGGCTATAAATAATAATGTAATCCTGAGCCACGCCGGGAACTCCAGCTGTTTATTTATTTATTTATCTATTTATGGCATATGTTTTTTTAAAGGCTTATTTATTATGTAACAGTTTCAGAAAAAAATGTTTTTTTACATTCTTTAAACATTTTTTACATATAAATATTATATAGCCGCATGAAAAACAAATAATAAAAAGAAATACTTTTAAGTATTTATGATCTTAGAAACCGGATTTTAACCACTTTTTCATACATGTCAGGTAATAAAGGAAAACCTTAGAAAAATACCCTGGTTCCTGAACTTTAAAAATATAGTTCAGATTCTGTCTAATAATTATCGAAAAAAAAACAATGTGTGATGAAGTTCATTTTTGTCCACCACGGAATCATTGTCATGGTTTTGACCATAACAGTCATTCAAGAAGAAGGAAGGCTATTGCCCCCTCCCCTCCATAAGTTGGAAATAACACTAAATAACCTAAATAAATTGTTGGTCATTTACAAATAAGGACTTTAACCTTAATGATGGTTGGAAGACGGTTTGAGGTTAAATCCTTAGTTGTTTTATCCTCTCCCATAGTTCCAGCCCTTCTTCTAAACTCATTGGGAGATCCAGCCTCTTCGATTTTATCTATTAATAAAAAAAAGTCGTAAACAAAAGTTGTTAAGGGCCTCAAATAAAACCATTAACGATTCACAACCGTAGAACACATAAATACATAGCCACATACAGGGTGTCCCACATAAATTCGGACCGTTTATGGTTCTAAATTGCGTTTTTCGAGAGAAATTAGAAATAGAAAGATTAAATTAATTTTAAAAATTGTATACGCCTACTATTAAAATTTGAATGCAGAAAACACTAGGTTTTTCGGGTATTAGGTGCATATTTTAACATTAAACCTAGAAGATAATCCAATATGATATGGGACGCTCTGTTTATTGTACTCCATATTCAATATTATTTGTAAATATTTATCATGCAAGTATAAAGACAATGACATCCGTCTAAAAAAAACCTTTTTAATACATTTCATTTATCAGTTTAGTTTAATAGTTACGGTGTTGAATCCATAGCATTTGCATTTGCATTTGCATTTGAAGGAAAAACAATTTTCAGTGTTTGAAATGTTTATTTGCACTGAAGTTAAATTTCACTAAAACTTATCCCAAAAAATTAGTGCGTTTGAACAATTTTCAGCATTAGAAATTTTCAAATGCGTTAAAATTATTCTATTTAGAAAGAAGAAAAAATAGTGCATTTGAACATGGTGTTCCGCTGCACCATTTTAAGGTCTCCTTTTCAATCAAAATTAGGCACTGACTCAATACTCTGAAGAGAGAGAGATGAGAAGAAACCAGCGCTTAGGATCCGGATCCGTTGGATCCGCAAGATTTTGGCTTCCTGGATCCGGATCCGCAAAAATATGCGGCCCCACGGATCCGGATCCAAAGGTTAAAATATTAACCAAAAACTCCAAAAAAAAATCTTTTTTACTCCAAAACCCCAAATCTGAACTTTTAAAAAAAATTATTAAAATTTCCTCATTTCTGAATGGTTCATCAAGTTTTAGGATAAAAATAAGCGAAAAAAATAAAACCAAAAATTTGAAAATTTTGTTTTGTTAAAAAGTTTCAGTAAATCTTAAAGAAATGATCCATTTTTTTCCAGTGGATCCGCATCAAAATTGAATGGATCCTAAGCACTGGAAGAAACAAAAAATTTTGTCAAAAATCTTAGTGGCGGATTGTTCCTCATATTGAATGCTCTCATGTTATCGAGACCCCCGGATTATTAAATACACTCTTAAAACAAATATGCGCTAAATAGTGTTTTGCCCCAATTCCAATTTGCACGTAAGCGATGATATGCTATGCTTAATTTAGGATAATAGAATCATGTAATACATTAAACCATAAGTATGGACGAAGAATTCAAAATCGTTATTGGAGCATTTTGGTTGGCGTGCTAATAGCCAGCTGGTATTGGTCTTCCTACCTTAAATTTCATTTGTTGTATATTGACTTGCAGGTTAGTGGACCCGAAGATTAAATATTTTTTGGTTAAAAACCTGTTTGAGGCATTACACCATAGATTTTACATGTTGTATGTTGATTTTAGGTTTTTACATACAAGGATTCTATTTTTGAAGTAAAAATTAGTGTTTGAGTTTGGATGACCCAAAAGTTAACTTCTTGCTAATAGCACGCAGATCCGAATGCTCCAAGAAGATTTTTTTATTCAGTAATAGATTTCTAGTATCATAACATACATACAATTAAAATCTACGGTAGGATAACCCACAAGGTGATCACTGACTACTAAGCCAACAATCAAAGTTCAATATAATTATTTGAGAACAAAAAAAACAAAGCACAATTGAGTACAAATGCTTATCATTTACAATTGGTTCTACCTAAAATGAAAATTTATATACAGTAAGTTCTACCTATAATCAAAATTAATATCGTATGAACTCATGGAACCCGGCAAAATAATTTCAGAAATTCCTCCCAAGATTAATTTTCATACTCATTCTTAAAGAAGGCGCAAAAACTGAACTTCTCTTTCTAGACTTTGATTAACTTTTTTTAATTAAATGAAGAAATGCTTACCATTTTTATCAGTGACTGTGGTTTCAAAGCTAGGAGGCGGGGTTTTCTTTCGCGCTGTTGATTCCGCTTCAATTTTCTGTAAGCAGATAATTCCATGTTTTAGTTCATTCTTATAAAATTACACCAGCACTTAGTCCCAGGTTAAATTTATCTGGCATTCATGAACTTCATTTTATTTTTTTTTATTTTGAGGTTAAAGAACTGTAAGTGTAATGAACACGAAGGTCAAAACTATACATCCACATTTTTTGTCTTTCAAGTGATCTTGCAATAATTGTTTATTCAATATCTTTAAAGTAGTGATTACTCTTCCCAAACTCTGACTTTCTTATCCTTATATCTTTGAAACCTTTCGTTGTAAGCCTTAAATTTCAAACTAAAATTTTACTAGATCAAAGTTAGTAATAGTAAAGGTTTACACCATCATGCTCGAATAGTGTGTTCAGTTCAGTCTGACAAATCTGAGACAGAAAACCCTCTGATTTTATAAAGGTTGTTACAAAAACCAAACACTTCACACTTTTTTCTCACAGAGGCATAAATTTTACCAGATCATAATGATATTAATAGCACAATGTCTGTATGTGGTTAGGGCTATGTGAAAAACAAAATTTGAATTTGTCAACCATGTTCTAAATAAATGCTCTTTGTCTCTTAGGGGATGGAACTGATTAGCCTACGCTGGAGAGCCTTTTCCCACTGTACTGGGCTTCAGTTGACAGAGATTTATTCATTACTTTCTTGCAACCTTCTTTTTTATTATGACCCAATTACTCTTAATTATAGGCCGGACCTTGTTAAACTTTATGGACTTTAATTTAAACTATTGCTGACAGCATGAGAGAAGCTGGCAGAGGTGGCTGTGGATAAAGTAAGTAATTCTTTTTTGAAATAAAATATGGTCCTATCATCTACCAGTAATGGTCTACAGCAGCTGTTCTCCTTGTTGAAGAAGAAGTGAAGGAACTGGTTCTGCATTTGCCTGTAAATGGTGGGCTACAGTATCCTCCCAATAGGTGTTGGGTTAAATTACCTCCACCTTGAAGTTAAAATCTAGTAACTTAACAACAATTCAGAGTTTTAGGGTTATATTGAATACCTTTTACAGATTCACATTTTTAGCTTTTCAAATGTATTTTTATTTGGCACGTAGGGTTATCCGTTCCACCCCCCGAGAGACAAGGAACAATTTTTCAGAGCAGGGTTGACCAAATCCGATAATTTTTGTTATCACGTAGTCCTAACATCCTATAGACATTGTGATATTAATTTTATTATGATCAGGTGAAATTTAAGCCTCTTAAGAGAAAAAAGTGTGAAGTGTTTGACCTTTTTAACACCCTTTAATATACACAACAAAATAAAATCTAGGTACCTTCGGTTTCTCTCCTATAGTCAGTGCTGGAGGAGAACGTATATCCTCGATAGAAAGACCTGTATCTGGCAATCCGGACTTTCTACGCTCGTGCGTGTTTGCATTCCCCATTTTATAGATTCAAATTCAAAATGTCTGAAACTTTCTTTCATATAAATATGGCATATACTGCATAATACTATTTAGGATTGTTAAAAAAAACTAGAATATTGGAATGTAATAAGTTATCAAATGAACAAATACCTTAAAAAAGAAACAGAATTCTAAATATATAGAAAATGTCATAATTTTTTCCGAGGTTGTGGTGATTTGGTTAAATAACTGAATAAAAATAACAATATTCAATTTCAGAATTTTATTTTGAAGCCGCAGAAAATTTATTTCCTAATATTGTAAACCTCCGCCGAGATAACAAATTATTTAGGTTCAATATCGATAGGATTCCTTTAGTTTAAAAATAAGAAATATAAAATAAGACAAGGATAAGAAAACACTCCCAAATAAATTTTCTCCTTACCATTAAAGATACTAAGATTTAAAATACTGTAAATCAAGCTTCTTAAGGAAACATAGACCATTGACCTCAATAAAGGTACACACTGCGATAAAAGGAACCCGTGCTTGTGGTGAGAGAAATCTAAAATTGATTATCTGAACAGGAATCCAAAAAATAAGACCAAGAATCAATGTTGGGATAATTTTCAATCTAAGTTCCTCCATAGACTTGTCGGCAGGTGTTCCCTCCAGGAAGTTGATGAGAAGATAAAACATTGCAACAAGAGGAACCTCGAGGACAGTTGCATCCAATAAAACCTTGAGAAAAAATGTCAAGATCCAAAAGCACAAAAAAATATGAAAGATTAAGGAATTGAGAAAAAAACGGAAGCTTTAGCACATTACATATTTTTAAAAATATAAAAAATCAAGTACTAGATATTCTAAACCTTATAGACATAGTGTAAGGGGGGAGGGGGGACAAATTACTCTTCTAGAAACTTAAACAGTGTACTGAACTGAACATATTTTAGAAAAAAATGAAAAAAATTATCAATTTTACTAGAACATCAAATTTTATTTACCGTTTCCCATTCAAACTTAATTAGTACAAATGAACAAATCGCATTTATGAAACTGCACATTTACATTTAGATGGAATTAAATTGTTTAAATTATCCCAATATGTCTGTCAACTGTATACTGTTAGGAAGAGATTCCAAGGTGACTCTGGAGCTATGTCATTAAAAAATAAAGAAGCCAATTTGAGATAGTTGATTAATTGATCAAAATTCAGGTTTAATTGATTTTTCATTCAAAAACCTTCTCTTACCTTCTTAAGAACAGTCTTTAGTTGAACCCCTGGGTATACTTTATCTAGCCATTTATACCAGTAGAACAGTATAGGTGAAAACACTGTTCCACCCACAGCAGTGTATCTAAAATACAGTAAAAAATAAATACGAGATTGTAGTCCAGAGGCAGTGTTAGGGTGGGGGAAAAGAATATAATTTTTTGATGAGAAAACAGACACCAACCTTACAATTGTCGCAAGGGTTTATATTTTCAAAATTCCCTTCCCCATGAAGGAAATAATTTCGATGCTCGGGAGAATATTTCCCCGATTCAGCGAATAAACCCCACGCAAATTCAAAATAAAAGGGTTATCAAGAGGGGATGGGGAGGAATATTTTCAAAATAAAATATCGCTAAATATTAAAATATTATTAAAATATCGCTAAATGTAGGGGTTGAATGAGAAGTTGCAAATATATTACAGTGGGGGTTCGCACAGTTTTAAAGATACTCCAGGATTTAATATTTGAAAAAAAAACTTTTGAATTTCTATTTATGGAAACGCTAAATATTAAAAAAAGAATTAAAAATGAACAAAGATTCGAGGACTTTATAAAAATTTAACCTTGCAACGGACAAAAAATCGAGTTTCTCAACTTTGAGTTTCTTCCATTTTGGAATTATCTTCTTTTCTAGAGTTTGTTGTGATAATTCTGCCAGGCCCATGAGTGAACCGTAAGTTATACAGCTGGTGCATAAAGGATGCGTCCTATTCAGTTCCCGAGCTTGGACCCAGGCCTTGCGGAATACTTTCCGCAGCATTATCATCTGTAACAGCCTTTTCATTTCCGAACTCGGAAAGCAGTTATATAAAAATATTTCACAAATCCATACAAGAAATTTTTAAAAAGTTTAGATATCCTTCGAATCATATTTTTTCTTCTGTAAAGCCGTTTGTTATTCACTGGAACTATGCGGTTAAGGTGTTCAATATTTGTTTTCAAGTTTATCGAGATGAGAATAGTTCTGTGGTCAGACCCAAGATATTCTCCCGGCCTCCAGGAACATCTATCGGCTATATCGGCGGTTGCCAAACTTAAATCTGGAGTAGTTCCTTGGCGTAATGTTGAAAGTCCTCTCAGATTTAGAAACACAATCTGAAACAAAACAACAATAATGATGACTATTAAATTATTGTGCAATTTTATCACTCATGGTCAATGGTCATTTCCATTAGAACAGTGCTATAAATTGTAATGTATATAAATACTTTGCTTGTCTGTCCGTATTTAATAAACGTCAAAACGGCTGAACCAATCGGGCCTAAATTTTGAGTGGGACCTCACATGACCCCATGGCAGGGTTATGGATGCAAAAAATTGTGTCCCAAAGGTTTTTTAATGCCCACAGAAATAGAAGATGGAAGCGAAGCGCCTTAAAAGCCTAGTAAATATACCCAAAAAAACTAATTTTATAAGCTAAAACATTTCATTATCATAGTAGCCGATGGCCCACAAAAAGTAAGAACGCTCTTATTAAACAAATAAGTAATGCACAGAAAAAAAATGTTAAAATAGTTGGTTACCTTATTTTTGCGAACAAAAGACATTAGGGATCTACCTAGGAGATCCGTTCCTTTATATCCCCACCAAGGAGATTTACTGTTAAAATCCCCTGAACAAAATAAATTAACATTTTATATTTAAGCCTGGGAGAAATAATTTATATCGAAGAGGAATTAAATTACTCATTATATCTGCCTAAGATGCCAAGCTTTCGTTTGATATGCATAAAGCCATGGTTAAAACATTTTCATTTTTGGAGGTCATTTGAGGTCGTAAGAGGTCATTAGAAGTTCAAACACTGGATTTGTTGCTGCTACTGTATTCCCTGGGTTCATAGCTTTCGTTTGATATGCATTTAGCAATAGTTGAAATATTTTCTATTAGTGGAGGTCATTATAGGTCATTAGAATTCAATTTGATTTTATTTTAGGAATTTTGAACACTAATTAGGCGTGCAGCCAAAAATTGGAAGATTTTAACCAAAACTGAAGGCAGGGCCCCCCCCCCCCCCCTACATCAAACATGCCAACTCCACTATCCCCTTTAAGTAAAAAATATATTCATTTCTAAAAATGTAGCCGTGACTATTTCATATTAGAACAAACAGTTACAGGTTAAATTTAAAGTTTCAGCGTAAATTGAGTGTACATCTAGCTTTCAGAGCAGCAATAACTGGCTCTGGCTCGGCGCTTCTAAAAGTACTCAAAGATACAGGGTGAGAGAGAGAAAATGACATGCTAAAGAAACATTAGCCAGGGGTGTATATCCCCCGTAAACACCCAAGCACACAAATGGAAAAGAAATAAACACAAAACACAGAAATAAACAAGAAACATTGAAGGCCTGCATTAATCTTTTAGCGCTGTATTAACCTGGAGAATGGAGGTTTTTTAGCTAGCTGGATCCAGATATTGCTACTAGCAGCTTTAAATATACTTCTTAATAACAGGCCTGGTTAGCTGTTATTAAGTATCCGAGCTCGTCGAAAGACGTTAATTCTTTCAAATTGAATCTGGTTGAGGTTCTATGTGTAAACATTCAAGGGAGCTCAGAACAGTCTGGTTCTTATACAACTCTCCAGAATCTTGTGGCTGAACAGAACCCTGTGTGGAATAACATGGCACTACACCCCACTTGAAAAAAAAGAAGAAAATAATAGTGCAGAGAAGGAGGGGTTTCGCTCCCTATCTCTTCCCCTTCCCTCTTGCCAGAAACAAGGAATATGGAAACATAGAAAGTAGAATCCTGATGGGTTGTGCACCATGCACTATCATACCGGTTTATACTCTGCCGGCTTCAAGGGAAAGATTGCTGTAGACGAGGCCGTAATCTAAAGCACTGTTTCCCAGTGAACTTTTAAGAATCAAGAATTCTTTTGTCGAAAATATCCACTCCCAGCCTAACCTTTCTTATCCCATTTGTCATTTTTAAGGCGGAATTCTGACAATGGAAATCCTCAGAATTTTCAAACCCAGCTTAGTGACTTTTATTTTTCCAACCTGTAAGAATATTGAGGAAATTGTGTTTGAAGCTGACCGTCAACAGTTGTTGAATCAGACATTATTAAAAATTGTAAATACATCTGATATCTGCTCACAAACAGTAACTTTCTAACATACTTAATTTGATATTGCTGGCGCCAAGACATCAAATCAAGACATCAATAGTATGAATCAGAAATGCATTATTTTTCCCTTGTCTACAAAAGACTAGAATGCGTAGATCTAAAAGAGAAGAACAGAAAACAGATGTATGATCAGATGAAAACAAGATAAACAGTCGGAGAAAAAAATTCACTCCTCTTTTTAAATTTTGTTTAAAAAATTTTAATTTAAGAAATTAATTGTTTATAATTTTTTTTAAATTTTCAGAGTAAATGCTGTTTAAGCTATATCTTGAAACTTGCGCATTTTTTAATTTTAGACTCTTAACTGTTAATAAAAAAACTTTGTTGCTTTGGCCCAAATCTAACACTTTAAGAAAAAACACGTTTTGCGAGAAAACAGGGTAATACTGAATTAACTATGCCACTAATCTAACAAACCTAGAAGAAGAGATTGTTGTTTGAAGTATGGTTCAATAAATTGAAATGAAAATTGTTTACTCCGGGTCCTGACTGGAGCACAGTACCAGTTGTGAAGGAATATTGTTCCAAATCCTAAAAAATATTTTTACATAGAATCGGAGCCCGTGTACTGAGATTAGTTTTCAAGCACCTGAACATCATTGTTTTGATATTTTTTTCTTAATTTTTTTTAAAAGTTATATTAATTCATAATATCGAGGTGATTGGTGAAACTTTGATTAAACTTCTGAAATGATTTCAATTAAAAAAAAAACATTTTTTAATGAGTATAAATTCAAGGTAAAAACATGAAGGCCAAACAAAAAATTGACAAACCAAAAGATTTGCATAACAGTATATAAATAAACCCAATTATTGTGTACGAAGGGCAAACCCGTATACTATGTTAGTGGCCAGAGTTTTGGTTAAAAATGCATTTTTAAAGAAATAATACTTTTATAATTGTTGAAGAATTGTGAACAAATTAGACAAACCTGATACTCGAATGATCCAAGACTGTGCTTCCACATCTGGAGGATGGTTAATATGAAACCTGTGAACCCTAGGTTTAGAAACAGTTTACGAGGTGGAACATATTTCATATTTGGAACCCCGGTATTGAAAAAAAAAAACACCAGAATCATAATCGAACAATGTCATTTAAATTAATTTTCAGTCTAAATTGTATGTAAATCGTCAAAGATCTCTGTACAAATTTAAAGCACCCTATGCTTGAAACGTAGTTAAAGATTAAGCCGCATCTTATAGAACCTTAAACTGTATACAAACTATTCATTTCCTGTTTATTTTACTACTGAACACTGTCATTACTCCACCTTAAAATAAATTCATAATATTACAAAAATCAATGTTGATTGAAAATTTTTAAGAGAAAGGGTAAGGTCGAATGGGAATTGCGGAAATAAGAAAAAAAACTGAATTAATAATACAGAATAACAATCATTAAGTCAATGTGAAATTGTCTACCTTTATGGGAAATACGATCCTTCCTAAACACTTGAAAATCTGGGCCCATGGTAAATCCGTGATGAGGGTTAAGGTGAGTTTCCTGAATGAGCGCAACATCGACCCTTTCCTGTTCCATGTACTCTCGGAGTCTAGATGCCTTAGGGCGGATGCCATTGCAGTTCCATTGAAGAATTCGCAGCTCTCTTTCTACGGAGAACGGAGTTAATATCCTCCTAAGTTTCATATTTATCTAAAAATATATTTTTGATTAATCTGAATCACTGCTAGAATCCCTCATTTCGCCCAATTTCCTTGTCCAATCAAACTCTTTCCACATTGTACTGAACTCAATAACTTTCCTCTTCTGAATATCAAATCCTTCCCATGTAGGATTGCGAAAAGTTCGGGCATCAATATCCATCATTCCTCCAAGAATCTCGTGTCCAAATCTTCGAGAAAATTCAGCCTCCTCCTCAATTATATGAGCAAACCCCGAGTCCATGCCAAAGTCGACATGGAAGTAAGGCAAACCTTTAGGAACATTTCGAAATATTCGATTATCCTTTAATTTAATCAACTTTTTGTTGTCCGACCATTCGTTTTCACACTCCTGGATTGCCTTTTGGAAATACATGGGTGCCATGGAGCCCAAATCGTCAGATATTGGAATACATTCTATAACCATGTGAGGGTGCTTCTTGAATCCCATTGCAGTCTCTATGAAGACACAATCCTCATCCCGAGAGAGAAACATTTTCACCAAAGCCTTCCTAGGAATAATGAATAAAGGATCATAATCTAATAATATGTATCTATTAAAATCTATTTTAATGCATGAAGACCCAGGGGTGTATAAAATACTGGAGGGGGGGGGGGAAGAAATCAAAGACCCAAGAGGAAGGGAAGGAAAAAGGAAAGGAAAAGGGGAAGGAAAATGGGATCGAAAATGGGATAGAAAAGGGGAAAAACGAAAGTAAAAGGGGAAGGGTAACAACAGAAGAAAGGGATGGGTGGGGAAGGATGGGGAAGGAGGAAAGGAAGGGAGGGAAGGAGATAGGTAGGGAGGAAAGGAGATAAGTAGTGAAAGGGGAAAGTAAGGAATGGGAAGGTTGGGAAAGGGAAGGTCAGGAGGGAACGAGGGAAACGGGAAGGTTGAGAGGGAAAGAGGAAGTTAAGGAAGGGAAAAGGAAGATAGGGAAGAGAAAAGGGGAGGTAGGGAAGCAGAAGGAGAATGTATGGGGAATGTAGGGAGAAAAATTGATGGAAGGTTGGCAGATAGGCAAGGAAAGGGGAATATATGGAAGTGAAGGGTTGGAGCGAGGCTCTTTACCTCTTCATATCTAACTTTCTCTGAAACTAGACAGCTTTACATAAATAATTTTCCCCGATAGCTTTAATGCGTTGTGAAAATGATGGGACATGATTTAAAAGAAGAAGAAATTCTCATGGACAGACAAATAATAAATCAAAACGTCTTTGCCGGTACCACCATACCAAAAGTTAAAAGAAATTTGCCTAAGGCGCCATCTATGCAAAATGCGTCCCTATTTATGCACTGCAGTATAAATCTTTAAAAAAATTTTAGTTTTCGAATTTGGAGAAAAAAATCAAAACAAAAAAATTCAGAGGGGGGGGGGAAGAATAAAAAATTGGATTTATATACACCCCTGCTAAAAACTTTTTTAAACTACACTCTACATATATGTGTAAACGAGGTACACTCTACATATATGTGTAAACGAGGTACCTGTAATCCTGAATTTCCTCCCAAACGTCCTCGTCTAGGTGAGTTCCTGCTGCTACGTGGCCCATCGGTACAATCAAACAGTGTCCTGAAATTCAACCGTTAAAACTTAATTTGCGAGGTCAAATTTAAATTTGTTTGATTGATTTTAACTTCAAAATCAATGGTCGATAAATGAATGTGGATAATCACAGGAAATATTTTTTGGACAATCACCCCCCCCCCCTCTTAAGAAATTCGTTTTTTTCCAAAGAACCTCAAAAACAATTTTTTAAGTATAAACCCCTGCCCTGTAGATATTTATTTTAAATGTATTTTTGTTGAAAATATAGGATACCTGTTGCCATGCTGGTATGTCCAGGTACAGACAAATAAACTGACTTTCCCATAGAAACCATCAAATGTTTGTTAGACCGCTTTGAGCCTATACACCATTTACAATCCTCAAGCGTTTTTTCCATCTCCAAGTGCTGTGCAGCTGCACGATTCTGCTTCTTAGCTTCCTCCTGATCCTCATTTTTCTTTCGAGCTGCCGTTGTGACCAGCATGTCATCCATATCATATTCTTCGTTTGTTTTCTCCAATGCTTTACCTGCTATTCCGCTAAGCATGCTATTCTGATCTTCTGCAGTGTTCATTTTTTCCCTTTCATACATTTGTTGAAGGTCATAGCGATCGTCATCACCAAAATATCGAATCCTCTGTCCATCTTTGTGCGTCTCAACTTTAGTCTTCTTCTGTTTTACTTTTGTATCATGATACTGTATCTTCGTAACCTTTTCAGGTTTATCATGTTGGTCAGGGTCACCACCCGATGCAATAAAATTCAACCTTGCCTCTCGAGCAGAGTCTAGCTTAGTTTTCAACTCACTTGTAAGAGATTCGTTTCCCATAATTTCTGCTTTGACAATTTTAGCTGCCAGAGAATTCATCTCCGCTTCCGTCATTATCTTAGAAATATTTTCGGTCTCTTCCAGGTTTTGCGGAATCTTCTCTGAGTCTGTGTCCGAATTTGACGATTCCTCTTCTTTTTCCACCCTTTTCTTCCTTTTCTCAGCGTTAAACCTTGATCTTTCTTCTTCTTTTCTTTTCTCTGTTTTCCAGCCCACACTTGATGAGTATCTGAAAAAGCAAGGTTTGTGACAGATACATTTAAAATTTATCATATGTGTTATGTATGCAAGTAAGATAATGGTTTACCTAGTACTGTTTCCTGTCGTAGATTGTTTTTTGAAATTTTCAACAGGTTTTGAAAACTTAAAAGTTGGACTTTTACTTTTACTACGATCCTTCCGTTTCTCGCCAATTCTACTTTGATCAGTTCTTTTCTCTCTACTCCTGCTACGACCTTTTCGGTTCTCTCTACTCCGGCTTCGATCCTTTCGTTCCTCTCTACTCCGGCTCCGATTCTTTCGTTTCTCTCTACTCCGGCTCCGTTCCCTTTTTTTCTCTCTACTCCGGCTCCGTTCCCTTTGTTTCTCTCTACTCCGGCTCCGTTCCCTTTGTTTCTCTCTACTCCGGCTCCGTTCCCTTTGTTTCTCTCTACTACGGCTCCGTTCCCTTCGTTTCTCTTTACTCCTGATTTCATAATTAGCGGTTTTAATATTTGCAGCCTTTTCTTTTGCTTTAGCAAGCATCTCGTGAAACCTGGCTAAAGATCCCCATCTTTTAGATGCAACTTCTTCAAGCGAAATATTCTCTTCTTTAGACTGTTCCTCCGCTCTTTTGTAAGCTTTTAGTAGCCAAGTTACACCCCCATCCCCGGTGGATATAGTTTGAGAAGGTTTCATGCTTGTGTTGGGAAGACCCGAACCCCCCTTCGCAAAGTAAGGATTTAATTCTCTACTACTGGAACCTGGTGCATTTGCTGCCTCCTTTTCACGCTTTTCCTTTTCTCTTTTCTCACTTTTAGACAATCCATCCCTCCTTGTGTAGGTTGAGATCATCCCCATCTCCATCCAGTCATCTCGCTTTTTCTCAGGTTCATCTTTCTCGGTAATGGGTTTATTATTCGTACTCTCAACCCAATCGTCCTCCGCATCTGATCCTTTTCTTTTCTTATGCTTTTTCTTTTTCTTTTTTTTCAACTTCTCGTCTAAGTCTGGTAGCATCCACTTATCATCTCCTCTAGCTCTGGCCAATTCTTCTTTTGACAGTTTCATTTCAGCCTTTCTTTCTGCTTTCTAAAATATAACTCAAAAAAATAACTTTAATCAGATTAAAAAAAAAAAAAAAATTCATACTCTTACGAGAGTGTTCACCCGTTTAAAAAAACGCGTAACACTCCAATCTTACCACTCAAGGATACCACTGAGGGCAAAGCGAAATAAACGAAGAGTTAAAGCTTATCTCATAATTCACAACCTTTTAAAAATGAATATATATGTTTTAATAAATAAGTAAAGTCGCAAAAAACATTGTATTGGAGCGACGAGTTATAAATCTACGCAAAATCAACTATTTGTGTTTCTGACTTTTATTTTTTTCTAATTTTAAAAGTTTTAAACCCGAACAAGCCCCCCCCCCCCCTCCAATACTATAAGGAAACTATAAGGAAAAGGAATCTGAAAGAGGTCCCGTTATGAACCCCCCAGACCGCCGGCAGGGATGGGCTCTGTCCTAATCAGGAATATCAGAAAAGAGATCTAAAGCCCCCCCCCCCCCCCAGGAGAACCCAGACCGCCATTGGACTTCATAAACCTTTTTAGGGGGCAGGGGATCCTAACTTATTTCCAGATGCTTTATCACATTGTTAAATTGGTTTAAATCAAATCAAGAAGAATTACTGTTGCATTTTTTCATTGTGTAATATTCTTTCATTATTTAGTGAACGTAAATAACAGTGGCGTACTTAAAGGGACTGTTAAGAAAAAATTAAAGGGGGTATAGGCTGAAATCTGAGAATTTCAGGAGTTGAACGATACCTATAAGACATCTATCTGATGTTCTGTCTCGAGAAATTGATATAAAACTGTATCAAAATTATACCGAGATGTATATATAAGATTTTGTATAAGATTTGTAGTATTTAACATATAATAATATTCAACAAATACGCACTCAATCTGAAAACAACGATATCCCAGAGGAGTCGGAGAAACTCAAGTTTCCCCGGGCTATTATTATTTGAATTTAATAATTTTTTATTTTTAATAGATATAATTGATAATATTATTTATGCCAAATGTCAAAAGAACTGCAACCAATGGCAGTGCAGTATTATAGTCACGTGTCTCCGTCTGTATCACGTGAGCGTGAATACTGCCATTGGAGAGATTTCTGGTCATGTGATACGGACGTTTATCTTACATATTTACGTTTTGGTATAATTTTTACGCAGTTTTATGTCAATTTCTCGAGACAAGAACATCAGATAGATGTCGTTCAACTTCTGAGATTCTCAGGTTTCAGCCTATACCCCCTTTCATTTTTCCTTTACAGTCCCTTTAAGAGGGTTACTGTAGGTAATAGGGGCCCCTAGAATCTTGGGGATATAAGTATCCCCTTCTAGAAACTTGATCTACATGTCCAATGTCCATTATTACCACGGAAAAGTAAACAAACTTGTTTTGATATAGGGTGGTTCATTGTGTACATCTGAGGAGAGTATGAAAAAGCTTCAACTATTCGTTTTCTTTCTCTATGACTGAGTGCAAGAATTGTACGCTCCTTCTGTTGTAACAAAATGCAGTTTTAAGGCCCATATCCGTCGTTTTTTTTTAGTAGATAGATTGGGCTCCAGTACAAAAGGTAGAATTACAATAGGTGAAATTACAAAAGAAAAAAACGATCAATAGATAGAACATACAAAATGTAGAACATACAAAAGGTAGAACTTTCCAAAGTAAGGATTTCCCATTTTTAAGAAGCAAGAAAATTTTCCAATTTTGCAGGGATATCCGCGAACTTTTTTGAAATCTCCCAAAGTGCATTTCTCGTTAAAATTCAGAATGGAGCGGTTGGTCACCTACAAAACGTTGACAGCTAGAGAATGTCGACGTAAAAGTTGGGTTAAGACAATTTCGGGCCGAGCGCTGCAGCTTGGATGGGCTAGGGGGCCGAGCGCTGAGGCCTGATTTCAGCTGACTCTTTCCCAAAATAAGGTGAGAGACACCACATTACTCAATATCTAAGAGGCCACCGCGCTCGGCCCCCTAGGTCCTAGCTGCAGCGCTCGGCCCAGAAATTGTCTTGACCCAACATAATGTAACATTAAAATAAAAAAATTCTACCTTTGGAAAATTTTACCTTTTTTAATTCTACCTTTTGTATGCTCTACTTTTTAATTATTTTACTTTTTGTCGTTCTACCTTAAGATCGTTCTACCTTTTGTACTGGAGCCGATAAATTTACGAGTAGGTTTTCATGAAACGATAGGCCTGTGCATAAAGGCCATATTCTAGAAATAATTGAAATATGGCATAAAACGTTAAAAAAAACTATACAAAACTCTAAATTGTCCCAGAATAAAAAATGTTCATCAAATCTTTTTTATACAGTCATAAAATGACCCGGAATTGATATATAACTAATCAGACGACTTTACAATCTAATTTTAAAAATATGATTAATGAAACGATAATAACAAAATATCCCTAGTCCTGCCAATTCCAAAATGTCGCCAACCTTTATTGCGCGTTTAAAACTAATTAGATATATAAACGTAAAATCGCTGTGTAACTGACAATTAATTCCGCGTCTTTCTGGTTATGACTGTTGTATAATTTTATAAAATGTTCAGAGAATATTTAACATTTTGCCAAACTGGAACAAATTAATGGAATAGATTAGAGTTCGTTAAGATACTCAATCAGAGGCCGAATTTAAAGAATTTGAACCGCGGTTTAAATTTAAGCCGGCGCTCAATTTAAACCGGTATTTGGGGGATTTTAGACGCGGTTAAATTCATTAAATTCGGACACAGGACATGTGTACTTTAAAAACAATCCCTTAACAGGGGTATATATTTTTATTATTTATTTATATAAATGTCCTACCAGCAACACTCGTTCTCTTGCTTCTCTCATCATCTCACGTTCCTTGTTTATAACCTTAGAGCTGACAAATTTTTGAACCTCATACTCAGCCATCTTAGCAGCTTAATTTCACAATTTCTGAAAGTTAAATAAAATTATTTTTACGCTCCCTGCAAACATTTCCAATATTTATGAGAGTAATGATTATCAAGCGTGGTTAAATCTAGGCGTAATTACGCGAAATTACTTAATACGAAACCATTCCGTAATTAGTAAAGTTCATATTATTTCTCAGAAATATAGCGGGAAAATATGTGTAAGGATATGTGCGATACAACCATGTCAAATCTGATTGGATAATTTAAATACTTTTAAATTGAATTAAAATTCGGTGGTGGACCAAACCTCTGTAGAAAAAATAAGTAGAGGTTAGTTCCACATTTTATTAAACATATATTTCGGTCTAGGTTGACCCTCGTCAGTTCTAACGATAAAATAACCATCAAAATCAATGTTAAAAACCACAAGAAAATAATCAAACAAAAAATATTGTAAAAAAATTAAATGGGGTGTCAAATGGACAAAGGGAAACGAACTCTGATCATGAGATAGAAAAAAAAATTTGCAAATGTTCACTTTTTAAAGAATGTTTTAATAAAATTATTATTCCTTGAGATAGTTTCTGTCGAATAGAGATTAAAAACAAACTAGTTTATATGTAAAGTGTTTACTGTTTAAAGTGGTGGTAGGGGTCGATCTAATTAACAAACTTTTACGTAAATCAAGGGGGAGGGTGGCTTGTTTTAGGAGGGGTATTTAAACAGCTTTAAAAGAATTGGAGGGTCTGTCCTAATGAACGATTTTTGGAAACCCCCTCCCCCCACCTATCAATTTTGTACATGACGAAATTAGTATTTAGGGTTAGGCTAGGTTAAGACACTTTATGGGCCGAGCACTGCGGCTAAGATAGGCTAGCGGGCCGAGCGCTGCGGTCACGGGTTAGGTTAGTCAAGACACTTTCTGGGCCGAGCGCTACGGCTAGGACAAGCTAGGGGGCCGAGCACTGCGGCCACGGGTTAGGTTATTCAGTGTGTGGTTTTGATTCAACATATAACTCCTTAAATGTTTCGTAAACATTCCTTTCAGTTATCTGTAATAAAAGATTTTCTTTGTGAAAATTGAGATAATAAAATGATTAGGCCTTAGGAGTTTTCTC